CAAGAGCTCCCCCCCCCCCCCCCCCCCCCCCCCCCCCCCCCCCCCCCCCCCCCCCCCCCCCCCCCCCCCCCCCCCCCCCCCCCCCCCCCCCCCCCCCCCCCCCCCCCCCCCCCCCCCCCCCCCCCCCCCCCCCCCCCCCCCCCCCCCCCCCCCCCCCCCCCCCCCCCCCCCCCCCCCCCCCCCCCCCCCCCCCCCCCCCCCCCCCCCCCCCCCCCCCCCCCCCCCCCCCCCCCCCCCCCCCCCCCCCCCCCCCCCCCCCCCCCCCCCCCCCCCCCCCCCCCCCCCCCCCCCCCCCCCCCCCCCCCCCCCCCCCCCCCCCCCCCCCCCCCCCCCCCCCCCCCCCCCCCCCCCCCCCCCCCCCCCCCCCCCCCCCCCCCCCCCCCCCCCCCCCCCCCCCCCCCCCCCCCCCCCCCCCCCCCCCCCCCCCCCCCCCCCCCCCCCCCCCCCCCCCCCCCCCCCCCCCCCCCCCCCCCCCCCCCCCCCCCCCCCCCCCCCCCCCCCCCCCCCCCCCCCCCCCCCCCCCCCCCCCCCCCCCCCCCCCCCCCCCCCCCCCCCCCCCCCCCCCCCCCCCCCCCCCCCCCCCCCCCCCCCCCCCCCCCCCCCCCCCCCCCCCCCCCCCCCCCCCCCCCCCCCCCCCCCCCCCCCCCCCCCCCCCCCCCCCCCCCCCCCCCCCCCCCCCCCCCCCCCCCCCCCCCCCCCCCCCCCCCCCCCCCCCCCCCCCCCCCCCCCCCCCCCCCCCCCCCCCCCCCCCCCCCCCCCCCCCCCCCCCCCCCCCCCCCCCCCCCCCCCCCCCCCCCCCCCCCCCCCCCCCCCCCCCCCCCCCCCCCCCCCCCCCCCCCCCCCCCCCCCCCCCCCCCCCCCCCCCCCCCCCCCCCCCCCCCCCCCCCCCCCCCCCCCCCCCCCCCCCCCCCCCCCCCCCCCCCCCCCCCCCCCCCCCCCCCCCCCCCCCCCCCCCCCCCCCCCCCCCCCCCCCCCCCCCCCCCCCCCCCCCCCCCCCCCCCCCCCCCCCCCCCCCCCCCCCCCCCCCCCCCCCCCCCCCCCCCCCCCCCCCCCCCCCCCCCCCCCCCCCCCCCCCCCCCCCCCCCCCCCCCCCCCCCCCCCCCCCCCCCCCCCCCCCCCCCCCCCCCCCCCCCCCCCCCCCCCCCCCCCCCCCCCCCCCCCCCCCCCCCCCCCCCCCCCCCCCCCCCCCCCCCCCCCCCCCCCCCCCCCCCCCCCCCCCCCCCCCCCCCCCCCCCCCCCCCCCCCCCCCCCCCCCCCCCCCCCCCCCCCCCCCCCCCCCCCCCCCCCCCCCCCCCCCCCCCCCCCCCCCCCCCCCCCCCCCCCCCCCCCCCCCCCCCCCCCCCCCCCCCCCCCCCCCCCCCCCCCCCCCCCCCCCCCCCCCCCCCCCCCCCCCCCCCCCCCCCCCCCCCCCCCCCCCCCCCCCCCCCCCCCCCCCCCCCCCCCCCCCCCCCCCCCCCCCCCCCCCCCCCCCCCCCCCCCCCCCCCCCCCCCCCCCCCCCCCCCCCCCCCCCCCCCCCCCCCCCCCCCCCCCCCCCCCCCCCCCCCCCCCCCCCCCCCCCCCCCCCCCCCCCCCCCCCCCCCCCCCCCCCCCCCCCCCCCCCCCCCCCCCCCCCCCCCCCCCCCCCCCCCCCCCCCCCCCCCCCCCCCCCCCCCCCCCCCCCCCCCCCCCCCCCCCCCCCCCCCCCCCCCCCCCCCCCCCCCCCCCCCCCCCCCCCCCCCCCCCCCCCCCCCCCCCCCCCCCCCCCCCCCCCCCCCCCCCCCCCCCCCCCCCCCCCCCCCCCCCCCCCCCCCCCCCCCCCCCCCCCCCCCCCCCCCCCCCCCCCCCCCCCCCCCCCCCCCCCCCCCCCCCCCCCCCCCCCCCCCCCCCCCCCCCCCCCCCCCCCCCCCCCCCCCCCCCCCCCCCCCCCCCCCCCCCCCCCCCCCCCCCCCCCCCCCCCCCCCCCCCCCCCCCCCCCCCCCCCCCCCCCCCCCCCCCCCCCCCCCCCCCCCCCCCCCCCCCCCCCCCCCCCCCCCCCCCCCCCCCCCCCCCCCCCCCCCCCCCCCCCCCCCCCCCCATGTCATACATTAGACCCAGTGACAATTCAGGACAATCCCTGTATTTTATGGCCTGTCATTTTAATTACATTTGCAAAGTCCCTCTGGCCATGCCATAGAACATATTCACAGGTTCCACAGACTAAGGTGTAGACATACTGGGGGGCCATACCACAGCTGCTAGTCGCTCTAGTGCATTCTTGGAACCTCTCAAGTTATCATCTAGATTTCCAAATTGCTTTTCCATAGTTTCTTTTTTTGTATGCACTGGGACCCAGGCCAATAGTTTATTTCTTTTAACGGTCTAATCTACAGTTTATTAATTAACATGTTTAAATTAACATGTTTTAAAAAGTTTGATGACCCTATACATTTATTTATATATGTATTTACTTATGTTACATATACATATATTCACACACTATATATGAACTATATATATATATATAATATTAGTACTGGGGTTTGAACTCAGGGCCTTGTGCTTGCTAGGCAGGACTCTATCACTTGAGCCACACCTCCAGCCCTTTTTGCTTTTGTTTGTTTTGCAAATAGGGTCTTGTGCTTTTGCCCAGGCCAGCCTTGGACTGTGATTCTCCTTCTCCTGCCTTCTGAGTAGCTGGGCTGACAGGCATTTGCTACCGTGTACTGCCCTTGGTGATGATCTTTTTAATACCCAAGTTTTCTGACTGATTTTCTTGCATGTCCATCGGTTCCTGTGTCACTTAATAACTCTTGTCCTTTAATGGTAGTTCTTCCTTCATCCATCCAGACCAGTGCTTCTAAACCAGGGGCGACTTTGCCTCGAAGTGACATTTGGCAACGAGGAGACATTCTGGGTTGTCACAATATCTGGGGGTGGAGACTACTAGTGACATTCAGTGTGTAGAAGCCAGGAAGGCTGCTCAGCATCCCATAATAAGCATGGTGAGCCCTATTCAACTAAGATTTGTCCAGCCCAAAATGTCAGAAGTGTTGAAGTTGACACACCTTGATTTAGATCCTTTAAAGCATATTCATTTAAAGGGTGTCATTAGACCCATTTAATCTGAAGAGAATAAATGTTTTATTTATTACTTGATTAGCTATTATAGGATTAGACATCTTCATTGTTATGGTATTTTGGTTTGCAAGCTTATCATATTAGTCAGCTTTACATCACTGTGACAAAATACCTGAATTAATCAACTTAAAAAGGAGGAAAGTTTATTTTGGCTTGCAGTGTCAGCCCATGGTTGGTTGGCTTTGTTGTTTTGGGGTCTATGGTGAGGCAGAACATCATGGCAGGTAGTGAAGCAAAGCTGCTCACCTCAAGGTGCTGGGACAGAGACAGACAGGAGAGGCCAGGTCCCACATCCCCTTCTGTTTCTGTTGGTCCTGCCCCCTGGTCACATAGTTTGCCTAAATCCTGGACCTGATGGAAAGTGGCAGTCTTGTCTTTTCCTTTCTGTATCAGGCTCCTGATCTCTCACCTTGGAGGTCAGCAGTGAGCCTGACTTGAGGTCATCTGTTCCTTGGAGCAAAGTTTGGCTGTGGCTCTCATCCTATTCATCTCTGCATATTTCTTTATGGGGTCCTATTTTTACAATTTCTACTTGTATGTGTTTAAGGCAAAAGGAAACCAAATTCATCTTGACTGGATGGCTGTTGGACAACCATTTTGCTATATTTATTTCTGGCTACTTCTTTGCAAAGATATTTGTTGTTCCACACAAAATAAAAATGTGTTTAATTGTACATGTACAAGATGCTCTATAAAAATCATCTACAATCTAGTGCTGGGTGGTGGCTCACACCTGTAATTCTAGCTGCTTGGGAAGTAGAGATCAAGAGGATTGTTTGTTTGAGGCTAGCCTGGACAAAAAATTAGCGAGATCCTCCTCTCAACAAAGAGGTCAGTCACGGAGGTGCACGTCTGTAATCTCAGGTACAAGAAAGCATAGGTAGGAGAACCAGTGGTGTGAGGCTGGCCCCAGGGAAATCTTGAGACCCTATCTGAACATAACAAAGCAAAAAGGGCTGGAGACCTGGTTCAAGTGGCAGAGCACAAGCTCAAGGACCTGAGTTCAAACTCCAGTAGTGCCAAAAATTCACATCTACAGAAGTGAATTCATTGCTTCCTAGAAATTGCATAAAAACAGAGGAGGCACACAAAATGGAAACATTACAGAAATATGTGTATGGGTGAAACTTATCTACCACCCAGCACAGTTATGTGACACACAATGACACTACCTTTTCAGAGTAAAGGTCTGCCTGGAAGGGAGAGGACCAAGGAAGAGAGAATCAGTTCTTTTCTGTTCATTTAGAAGTTGTCAGGGCAGAAATGAACTTTTAGGGTCTGACCGTGTGTTTTCCACCTGTGAGCAGGTTCTCTGCAAGCACTTGATTTCAGTTTGATTGCTGTCACACATGTTTATTGTGGGTAAAATAATTTTTGGCTGGAGGACTTCACAGTTGGGGCGGTACGGAGGGCCATATGAACCAGTTTTGAAGAATGAGTTCTATACCGTGGGTCCAGAGGGAGCTTTGGGGACAGGGCTGTGGGACAATGAACTGCATTGGATGTGGCTGCAGTCTGGAAAGCTGCAAGAGCCACGTGACACCTTCGCTGGGAATGCGGCGGGGAGCGATGTCATCCTGCACGCACAGGTGGCAAAGGCTGGCAAGTGGGCACAGTCGGGTTTGCGCGCTGCGGCCGCCGACCGCCAGGGGGCGCCGTCTCCCCGCGCCGCGCGGGCTGTAGCGTTTCCGGGCCCCGCGGCCCCGCTCCGCCATCACCGGGCGCGCGCGCGCCGCGCCTCGTCCGCCCGCTCCCGTTACCGGGGCAACCGCGGCGCCTCCACCAGTGGGCCCAGATCGCCTCTCCGCGCCATTTTCAAACTGCTCCAGCTCCGGAGCGGGTGACAGGGCGGAAGGAACCAGCGAAAGAGGCGAGTCCAGGGGGCGATGCGGCAGGAACAGCGGCCTGAGCTGCGGTGAGCGGGCCGGGCCGGGCCGGGCCGGGCCGGGCGGGGCGGGCGCCTCGGCACCGCGCAGTTAGCGGGTTGGCTGTGGAGCGGGGTGTGGTTTAGAGGCCCGATGTGCACACAGGGTTCTCCGGTGGAATAAGCGGCTCGGCCCGACGTCCACTTAGGCCGAGTTGACCAAGGGGCGGTGTCCCCAGACTTCCGATCCTGCAGTTTCAATAGAAACTAGAGAGTTTGGCCGCCGCGCGCTGGCCGGAACCCGCCCCCGCCTTTGTCCGTCCCGGGTTTTCATCTGTCTGCGCGGTGCGCATCAGCTCGCGTCCCCTCCTCCCCGCCCGGTCCCGCCCCGCCCCGCAGTTGAGCTGGTGGCGCTGGTGGCACTGGTGGCGCGGCTCTGCGGCCTGGCTGTGTCCGACAGCTGTGTCTCCCAGGTCCCCAGGACTCCCCCAAACTCCCCGCCTCGGCCCAAGCCCCCTCGTGGAGGAACCCAGGGAGTCCTCCAGGGGAGGCCGGGAAGGTTTGCAGAAGAACTACGAGACCGACGAGGGATGCTGGCTTAGAAGGGATTGACGGAGGGCTGCGCAGGACGCAGGAGGCTTGGCCCCCTCGATTGCCGCCTGCTGCGTGGCTCTGCGGCCTGGGAATAGTTACCCCCTGGGGTGGCTGGCCCTCTGCCCGCACCGGGCGGTTGTGAGGACGGAGCTGTACGTGCTTCACATGCACTGGAATCTTACCAGTTGTGAACAGCAGAGTTGCAAAGCAGTTTTTCCTTGTTTTACACGTTTGAGTTAGTACTATGACTGCATTTCGTTGGCAAAGATTAGAAGAGTAAGGTTTCTGAAGATCCTTGCACAACTCCCACCTTAGGGCAGATTCATAGAGAATGTGTTTAAGTATTTAAAAAGGCAGATACGGGGGCTAGGAGGATAGCTCAGCGGGAGAGCACTTGCCAAGCATGGGAGGCCCTGGGTTCAATCACCAGCACCAGAAAAACAAGAAAAACCTATACACAGGTGCTTGTGTGTTACTAAAAAACCAAGGGACATTTACATGGTGAAATGTACAGGTGCATTTGAAGTTCTGCCATAAATGTATACACCTGCGTAGTCACTTATCTCAATCAACAATATTTTCATCACTCTAGAAAGTTCTAAACCCCTCAGACATTCTCCACCTTCCCAGGAACCGCTGTACTAATTTTCTCCCCATGGTTTACATTTTTCTTGGCTTTTGTTCTTTTTTTTTTTTTTTTTTTTTTTGGTGATACTGAGATTTGAACTGGGGGCTTCACCCAGAGAGCCATCCCTCCATAGTTTAATTTTACTTATTTTTGAACTTCATATAAATGCAGTTGTACTGTGTATGTATCTGGCTTTTTTTTTTTTTTTTCTTTTTTGGCAGTACTGGGGTTTGAAGTTAGTGCCTCAAACTTGTTAAAGGGTGCTCTGGTGCTTGAGCCATGCTCCCAGCCTTTTTTGCTTTTGTTATTTTTTGGATAAGATCTCACATTTTTGCCCAGGCCTGTCTCACACAGAGATCCTCCTACCTACATCTCCAACATAGCTGGGATTACAGATATGAACCACCATGCCGGATTTATTTGTGCTCTAGCCTCACTTTGCCCAAAGTGACTTCAAACTGCAATCTTCTGGGTCTCCACCTACAGAGTACTTGGGATTATGGGCATGTGGCCCTGTGGCCGGTGTGTCTGGCTTCTTTTGCTCAAATAGTACTTTTGCGATTCATCCACGTTGTTGATATGTATCAGCGGTTCTTCCTTTTATCTGAGTAGTATTACATCATATAAATATGAGTTTGTTTATCCCTTCTGCTGTTGTGAGTGTTCAGGTTGCTTTCCAGTTTGTGGTTGTTATGAATAAAGCTGCTGTGAACATTCTTGTAGCCTTTATTTTCATTTTCTTGTGTAAATACCTAAGAATACACAATTACAGGGTGGTAGGCAAGTTTGTTTATAAGATACAGCCAGACTTTTTCCAAGGTGATCCCACACTCCTGTGGGCAGTGTGTCGGGAGTCCTTTGCTCTGAGCCTTTGACCACGCAGGGCATTGTCAGTCCTTTCCATTTTAACTAGCTGGTGTGGCAAGATTGCACCTCGCTGTGGTTTCAATTTGTATTTCCCTGCTGCCTAATGTTGAACACATTGTTAAATGATATTCCTTTTGAGACATCTTTTGCAAGGTGCCTGTTCAAGTCTAACACAACTACATTTTCATTTTAGCCTAAATAGATGTTCTTCCTGGGTTGTTTTATTATTAAGTTGTAAGAGTTCCTTTTACACTCCATTTGCAAATCCCTTGTCAGATAGTGTGAATAGTTTGTTGCATTCTTCAGTTTGTCTTTTCATTTTCTTAATGGAGTAGTTTGAGGAACAGATGTTTTTATTTTGATGAAGTGTAATTTACCAAATTTTTCTTTTATGTTTAGTACTTTTTAAAAAATAGTTCCCTCTAAAAGTCTTCCATCGTCCTCTGGAAATCTGTTCTGTTTTCTCATACAGTCTTTATTGTTTTAATTTTTACATTTAGATTTATGAAGAGATAGGTATTTTAACATAGCATCTGGAGGTCGCAAGCATTAGATTTTTTTTTTTCGCTTATTCATATGTGCATACAATGTTTGGGTCATTTCACCCCCCCACCCCCGCTAAACATTAGATTTAAATTGTTCTAAATATTGCAGAAGACTGCCTCCCTGAAGAGAAACAAAACATAATTGTTTTATATTCAAGCAATCTTTTGAAACAATAATGACAGCTGTAATAATGATGTTTCTTTTCTTTTAGGACTTTTAATTTTTGAAGTGAATAAAACTGGTTTGGGAGGAAAAGATGACTACAGCTGCAGAAAGGAAGTATATTAATATTAGAAAGCGATTGGATCAGTTGGGATACCGCCAGACTCTGACAGTGGAGTGTTTGCCTTTGGTAGAAAAACTTTTCAGGTAGAGCTAAAAGTATAGTTCTAAACATATGTCATCTTTAATCCACTTATCTAGTTTTTTTCTTCAGTAAAGAAATGGGCAGACTTTTGAAAATTCATGAAATCATCAGAAGCTTCTCTATGTTCCTGTGTTCTAATCCATCTGTCCTCAACCCAGGGGCTTCACATTGCAGAACTCTAGGGGTCACTGTTCACACTGTAATGTTCAGAGGAAACATTTTAGAGGTTTTCTCTATGAATAGAGATAAGGTTTTTTGGTGTGTGTGGGGAATTATGATATAGGTAGAAGATTCTTCTCTGTTTTTTTTTCCCCTAGGGCCTTGAGTCTGACAGGCAAGCACTCTACCACTGAACTATACAACTAGCCCAACCCTTGCCTTTCTTAAGTTCTGGTTTTCCTCACTGGTCTTCAATTACTATTACTATTATTTTAGCAAGGTTCTCTAACATGTCGTTGGTTATTGCTATTACATGTGACTGTAACGGAAAGGTTCTTTGTGTTTTTTTTTTTTTTCCTTTTTCATGAGAGGTATATTGGAGTGCTTTGAGACTGGAACAGGGAAGTACTGAGGAGAATTTTGTTGTAGGACTACAGTGATGATGAGGATAGGGAGAATGGATACTGATATTCTGTGGTGTTTAACATGGCCCCCCAAACCTTTCATGGCCTAGTCCCTGCTTTTCCTCACAGCTTTGTCTCCTGTGTGTTGAATCACTTGAAGCTCCCTAAACTTATGAGCACTCTTACCCTTATGTGTGTCGGTGCTATCTCTCTGTCTGTGGGGTTTCCCTGCTCTCCATCCCTGGACCTGCGCCTGCTTACCTTCTAGGTGTCCATGTCTTTAGGACTCTTTCACACCTCTTACATGTTAACTGTGCATTGTTATTGCAAACCTGGTTTGTCTTCCTTTAGAATGAAAACTTCCTGAGACCTAAGACTCTGACTTTCTCATGGCTACACCTGTAGCAGGTTGAACATGCTTGTTGAGTTTGCCACATAGTATTACGGTTTTTTTTATAGGTTGTCTGTAGAACATAAGCTCTACAGTGGCCAGGACTATTTTTGTTTCCTCCTCTCTAGATATTTACTGAGTGAATGTCCCCACTGATTCTTATTTATTGTGTCCTGGCATGTCCTTAAACAATCAACACTTGCTCAATAACAAAATAAATTTCACAAATTCCATACCTGGAATATGATTAAGAGGGGAGATTCAAAGGTGGTCGGATACATGTATATACTGTAAATTATAATTACCATGTTATAATTATTTTGAGAAATTTTCAAACTCCAGTGTTCATTCTTTTTAAAAACTTTGTATCATCTAACATGAGTATATTTTAAGATTAGAAATATATTTAGAAATATATTTAAAGTTATTAGAAGATTAATGGAATGTTTGCTTGCATTTATATTTTCTGTTCTTTAATTTTAGTGACTTAGTTCATACAACAGAAAGCCTTCGACAATCAAAGTTGTCTTCTGTTAAAGCTGAGAAAGAAAGTGCCAATTTTGATTTTGTTTTGGAACCCTATAAAGTTGAAAATTCAAGATTGAGTAGGGAAAATAATGAACTATACCTGGAGTTAATGAAACTGAGAGAGCTCTCAGAACAAAACATTAAAGGTAAATGAAAATTTGGTAATTCCTTAAATGCAGTGTCTTCACCCTTTTTGTTTTTTTATGTAGAAAGGCTAATGTCTGATTCTGAAATTTTTGAGTAGAAAAGATGATAATCCTACTAACAATTCTTAAAAACCGCAGGGTATGTTGCAGAGTTCACGAGACTGAAAATAAATGTGTATTCTGTAGAGAATCAGTCCTCACGACATGTAGATGAAATTTTTAGTGTCAAAACTACTATAGAGAATATTAAATGCTACAACTAAGAAACGTTCTTAAAACAACTCCTGTTTTTCCCTTACTGAAAATAAAAATAGTAGAGTCAGATGAAATCCGTGCATTAGTCTGTGAGCTAGGAGGTAGATAATATGATTTCAAAGGTACAAAGTGAAAGGAACATGGCTGTTTTATTATAGATTATTCTTATGTTAAATAGAAAGCCCTGTCTGTTACCTGACATGATTTCATAATCATTTAGCATCACACTCAATTTACTGGATCAAAAACCATGTGTACCTTCAATACCTACAGCAGGAAAAAAATGTAATTCCCTTTTGTGCTTAGTAAGTTCTTTGTAGTTTTGTTAACAGTGGTAGAAAGGGTAATGGGCTTCAAACAAAGCAGGTGATGCCCTTTAAACTGATGTGATTGTGGTGGTTGAACTCAGGACCTTGTGCTTGCTAGGCAAGTTCTCTTAACACATGAGCGACTTCGCCCACCAGCCCAGATTCCTTGATCTTTCGTCTTTGAATCTTTTCTATCTTAAGATTTAAAAACTTCATTGAAGAAGTGTGCACGTGAAACAGCTGATCTGAAATTTCTAAACAACCAATATGTACATAAACTCAAACTTTTGGAGAAAGAGAGTAAAGCTAAGAATGAAAAAATTCAACAACTTCAAGAAAAGAATTTGCATGCTGTAGTTCAAACTCCAGGTAAGTCTGTTCTTCCTCAAAATAAAGCTTTTTTAGAATTATAATGAGGACAAAACTGTGAGTTGTATGTATTCTTTTATCAGGATCGATTTGTTTTTCAAATGCAATTCTAATCTTGGTCAGATGCTGAAAAAGAAAAATTACCCATGTGTGTTAGACTGACAAGATTGATCTATCCATTAAAAAAGTTACTTTACTTGTAAACATAATTAAGAAAATACTCCCTACTCCTTCAGGCTATAGCATGACTTTATATTACAGGTGACATTCCATTATATTCTAGTTTTGTTATGTCAAATTTCAGTTATCTGTTCTTTGACATTGCTTAATAAGGGTATGTACTTTAGTTCTCACTGCTGCAGCGGTGAGACATCTTGGGCTTATACTAGCGAACACCACAAGGCACACTCAGCTTTTAATCTTTCCAAAACCTAATTCCCATAAACAGAAGAACAGATTAAATCTGGGCCCACATGTCATACATGCAAGGCATATAAAACTTGTCTTTTGAGCTTTTCAGCAATACATTGTTTAAAGATCAGGGTGGGTATTTACATATGAGGGGGAAAATATTTTATCAGTGTATTATGTTAATAAGAGACACACTGTGTAATAAAAAGGCTAACCTCATAAAGGAAATATAAATCAAAATGACATTGAGATTCTGTCTCACGGTAGTCAGATGGCTGCCATCAACAAACAGACAGCAACTAATGCTGGCAAAGAAACGAGAACCTGCTTCTTTATACATTGTTTGTGGGAATGTAAATTAGTGTAGCCACATGGAAATCAGTATGGCGGTTCCTCATAAAATAAAGTGGAATTACCATACAATCCTGCTATACTGATGCTGGGTATATATCCAAAGGAATCTAAGTCAGAATAAAATAACCATGCTTATTGAGGACAGTCATGGTGTCAGCCTAGATGCCCACCAACTGATGAGTGGATAAATTGAATGTTACATATGCACAATGGAGTATTATTCAACCATAAAGAAGAACAGAATTGGATAGAACTAGAGATCATTGTATTAAGTGAGATAGGCTAGGCTCAGAAAGATAAATATTGTGTATTTCTCTTATATGCAGACTCTAGGTTTTAAAAAAAAAGACAGGGAAGTGAAGGGGCCATATGGTGGGGTGCAGGAGACCATTGGGAGGGAGAAGGGTGAATATGATTGAAGTACATATATGCCAGTATGTCATGTTGAAGTGATTATTTTGTACAATTAATTTTAAAAAGGCTAACCTAGAGTATTTAATTCTGAGACAAGTGGGTTTTTTGTTGTTGTTTTTTCTCCTTAATTTTTTAAAGAAACTCAGTTGTTTTTTTAGGTGGCAAGAAAAAAAACATTGCTTTCCGGCGTCAGCGGATGCAGATCGATGAGCCAGCCCCTCCCTCTGAAGTCAGCTCTTACCCTGTTCCGCAGCCAGATGACCCTTACATCGCAGATCTTCTGGAAGTGGCTGATAACAGGTGCATGACAGAACTTTTGTTGGAAGTTGAGAGTGTAGCTCGGACAGTGTGTGCTTAGCATGCTGCGTTCAAGCTGCAGCACCAAACTTACTATATTCTTTGTTGGCTTAATTGATCACTGATTGACTGTGAGTTTCTTGCTTAGGAAGGCTTTTGCCTGTAACTGTTGTGCTCCCAATATCTAGCACAGAATTTTGCACGGGCATTCAGTAAGTACCTTCAGAATGCTATTGAGTGTTTTAACTTTTTTTGAAACTTTGATTTTAAATAGGTCATGTATTTGATGTTTCTGTCTATACTTTAAAATAATTTAGTGCCATCAGGAACCTGTTCTGGGAGAGTTGCATAGACAGTAAGTTTCATTTCAAAGTAAGTTGTCTTTTACAGGAATCTGTATTACTTCAAATTTATATCAAATGCCAGCTGGACATGAATAGATTTATAAGTGGATTTGATATTCTTATCTCATTATTTCTCTAACTCTGTATTTATATTTCCTTAAGTTGGAATCAGATATAAATTCCATTTAATTAAAAATTCATTAAGTCTCTTAGACTGGGCCCTGCACAAGTGTTCTGAGATAAAAACGAATAAGATGATGTTGCCACTTTTGAGAGGCCTGCAGTCTAGTGTGGGGATGAGACGAGGGATGCATGAAATGGGGGTGTTGCTAAAGTGGTAGAGTGCTTGCCCAACAAGCATGAGGCCCTGAGTTCAAACCCTGGTACTGCCAAAAAGAAAAGTTCTAATCTCGGACTTTTCCTCAGGCAGTGTGTCATTATTAAAGAATTATTTGGGTTTCAGAGATGGAATTAATCTCTTTTAATTGTCTTATTCACTTTAATTTGCACTTACATTTTGTTTGGAGCTAGAGCATTTGTGCATTTATGTGAGTACACTTGCATACATAATCTTGTCCTCAATTTAGATTATGGGAGAACTAGTTCTAGCAATAGTGGGGACATGCTGTGTCCAGCCTCAGTACTCCATGTCATGGGAAGACGCCCTTCAAAGCGGAGCTGGACTCAGACTTTACCTTTCCCATCCAAAAGTGGGTTATGTCATATTGAGGTACTACAAATACATGTGAGTACTTGTAGAATTCAAGTAGTGTGAACAAAATCTTGATTCTCTAAGAAATTACAGGTTTCAGAAAGTGTAGGGTTTTTGCTGTAGTCACTTGGAGAATTGCAGTTTTATTAATTTTTTTTTCCTTCCAGGATGGCAGAATAGTTTATTAGAAAATACAGGGTTAGCTAGGGTCAGAAAAACCTGCTTTAGTCCCTTGTTTCACTCAATGATGTAAATTTGAACTAGACCCTCAGTTTCCTGAACCTAAGATAGGTAGCAGTACCTCAGAGTTGTCCTAAGGATCAAAATGCAGCAGGGAGTGTTTTATTGCATACTTTAATTAAGTTTCAAATTATTTACCTCTCAACTTTTATCTGTTCTTAAAAAATTATCTCTCCAAGATGATGTACCAGATTTATGTTGAGGCCTTGGGACTCTTTGGCACAGCCCTTCATCCCCTACTGAGAAGCAGAAAGTAAAGAGCTCATAAAACAACCCATCGACTTTCATGTCTTGTTATCTTGTCTGTCTTAACAAATGTGTATGTATATTGACATTAGTTATAAATGTGTTTCAGAATTCAAGAACTTCAGCAGGAAGTCCACCAACTGCAAGAAAAGTTAGCAATAATGGAAAGTGGAGTGAGAGATTACAGCAAGCAGGTAGAATTTTTATTACTTGCATATGAAGGGTTGAGGTAGATGTGCCGTGATCATGATATGGTGCTGTGACTTATATTTGGTAGCACTGACAGTGAGTTTTTATGCAGTCCTTGCCTTTCCTATCAGTTCACTGATAGAGTGAACAACACCTGCCCATTTCCTTCACTGTTCATTGACATGAATAGTAATTTTTTGTTTTGTTTTACTTTCTTTTTAGGTGAAACGTCTGTCTCCCCAAATAGAATCATATAAATGTTATTATTTCCACCTCAGGAGGGATTTTATTGAAGTGTGCTGTGTTTTATGTATTTTTTATGATTTTTTTTTGTTACAGATTTTGACATTTTGAGCATAAATTTCTTTGAAATTACTCTTCTGTGTTGCTGTATTTTTGTGCATTTTCACTGTAAGCAGCTTTCGGGAGAAGCAGGGGAATTAGATACAGTTAGACCATAACCATGGCAAGCTTTGTCCTTTTGTACTTGTTGCTGTCTTGGTGAAATTACAAGCTTGCTTTCTTAAGATACTTACTAAATTTTGAACTGAGTAGCCTGTTCTTCATTTTCTGTACATGGCTACATTTTTTGAAATGATTTGTACATACAAATCTATATGGAACTCACTTGTTGGTATAATTGTTAAGTTTTTAAAGTAATTTGAAGATTATTTGGATTAAAGTGAACTTAAAAGTAAGGAAATCATAATAATATCAAACAAAAAAACTTACTTTATGAGGAGATGTAAAATAGCAGATATGCATGAACTAATGTTATTGTTATTTTTCATTTTATAATCACACTTTCATTGCATTTTTTTTTCAGGTCCTTTATAAACATAAACTGGTCAGATTTTACTAACTCTGTAAGGTAGCTGAAATGTTTTGAGAAAATTGCTTGACCATTCTGGTTGATTTTGTTATCAACCACTCTGCTGTCAGTTTTTGCTATTCTTGTTTTTCCTTGAGTTTTATTTTTGTGTTTGTTTTTAAATTTATTTATTTTTTTCTCAGCATGTGTTCCAAATTTGGGGTCTAGGGGCACAGCACAGTGGATGTGCTTGACATGCCAAAGACCCTGAGTTTAGACCCCAACACCCAAAACAATACCAGCACTCCAAATTTTGCTGTTCTCAGATTCTTTCCTCAACTTATAAAACCTCCTTTCTCAGGATATCACCATATCTAAACTTAATTTTTTTACCTTTAAAAATAACAATATTTATACCGAGGCTCTTTGAGGTCTATGGGTAGGGGGGTTGTTTCTGTTTAAGGCCTTATTTTTCAGAGTTGTCTCTACTACCTAAAAATGCCGCATTGTTTTATGCTTTTGTGTCATTGTCTAGAACAACCCTCTTCTCTTTACAGCACTAGCCACAGTCTTTGGACATATTTGTCTGATAAGACCTTTCTCGATTTTCACAGGTGCAAATATACCATGCAGAATAAATCATGTCTCTCCCTTGACTACTGTGGTGCCACATACCTATTCCCTTTATTCTGTCATTGAGCACCATATTCTGTGGCAGTTATTGGCTTACTTACTAGTTTTCCCTATAAAGTTCTGTGTTCCTGAAAGTCTGAGACCATCTTTTACTCATTGTTATATACCTACTTCTATGTTTAGTAATTGTTGAATTGAATGTTTGTTTTTTTTTTTCAAACTATTTTATTTATTCATTCATTTATTCACTCAGGCAAGGAAAACCAAAGCCTGCAAGTTTGTGAAGTTTTCCAAGTTTTTTCATGTGAATTAGTGTCAGTTGTTAATAGTGATCTTTTAAATTATGTCTGTCATTTTCTAAATAACAGATAATAAATTCAATTCATTCCTGATTCTTACCACTTTTTATATTGAGGTCAATGCAACTCAGTTTTCTTAGTGTTTTACATTTTTTTCATTCCACGAGGCACTGAAGTAGTTCAGACTCAGTTCTCGTACTTGAACATGTTTGTAATCTGCAAGCAACTTTCTTTTTATATAAACAATTGCCTTAGAGGAGGAAGAAAATTCAATTAGAATTTATTCAATTGAAAATGTAAATTAGCAGATAATCTATTCAATGAAAAAACTAACAGTGCTTATAAAAGCTACCTTGACATTATTTATGTTGGGGTTTTCTGTGTTACTTATTTTTGCACTTCATATATGCATTATATCTAGATATAAATATGAATGTCAAGCTCTTGTATACATTATGGGACATAAGAAAAAAGTATGCTTAAGTAAATGGCCAGTGTTGACCATTTGGTTTGCAACCATATTTTTAAAACTGATAGCTTGACTCTATGTCCTCAGATTGAGCTAAGAGAACGAGAGATAGAACGCCTGTCAATTGCTTTGGATGGTGGTCGCTCCCCTGATGTCCTGTCTCTGGAGACTAGAAATAAAACCAATGAAAAGCTTATTGCTCATTTAAATATTCAGGTAATGACTCTTAGAATTATTTCACTGAGTGTAAAAAATCTTAAGTGTTTATAATGGTCTATGGGTAGAAGTGACAGGATTGTTCAGTGATGTATTATTTACAGTGGAAAAATACGGGGCAAAGGTATCTATAAAATAGGGTGCAGCTATTGAGAAATCTTGCTCTTAAACATATTTGAGACATAATGATAGTGTTTAAAATTTAAAAAAAGATAAACTCTGGGAATACTGTGATTTTTAATTTTTTCTTTTTAAATGTATGGGCTGGAGGCATGGCTTAAGAGGTAGAGCACCTGCCTAGCAAGCTCAAGTCTCTGAGGTAAATCCCAGTATAACCAAAACCAACCAAACAAACAAAAAAAATAGAAAAAAATGTTCGTGTGTACTTGGAAGAGAAGACTGTGAAAGAGAGCATTCTAAAATGTACTAAGAAAGCTTGTTTTGTGAGATGAGATATTCTTCTTGGTGACTTTATTTTTAAAAATTTTATGACTATTTTGATAGCGTAATAGAAACAATTTAAAAAATCTATATGTACCTCAATTAATGGGGTGGGAGTGTAGCTCAGTTGTAGAGTGCTTGCCTAGCATATACAAGGCTCTGAGTTTGCAAATAAATAAAATAAATAAAACTTGAAACTTTTCTTCCACTTGATCTAATGGTAGAAAAGCAGTTGATGTCTGACACATGAACTTTAAAATTGTAGATATATCAGAACAGCCTGAGCAAAGCTGGAGTTTAGTAAGTAAAAAATAGTAGTAGCTCTAGAATAGTGCTGTCTGATAGAACTATGAATAAGTCAAATATGTCACTTAAATTTTCTATTTTTATTTATTTATTTATTGTACTGGACTTTGAACTCAGGGCTTCATCCTTGCTAGGTAGGCATTCTACCATTTGAGCCACTTCTCCCATCCAAGTACTAACCAGGCCCAACCTTGCTTAGCTTCCGAGATCAGAAGAGATCGGGTGTGTTCAGGGTGGTATAACTGCACACTTGAGCCACTTCACTAGCCCTAAAATTTTCTAATAGTTTTTAAAAAGGGTGGGGGGCGGAAACAGGTAAAATTAATTATAATGATGTATTTGTTCCAGTGTGTCTCAAATCTTATTTTCGCACGTAATATTTTTGTACTGTTTTTTTCTTAACTAGGACTTTGAAATCCTATGTATATTTTACAGTTTTTAGCACATCTCAGCTTGGACCATCCACATTACAAGTGGTTAGTAGCCATATCTAGATGCTAGTGACTACTGTATTGGACAGCACAATCTAATATCATTATTGTGATTTTCTTGTCATCGTTTTAGAACTCTGTGTTGAGAAAAAGTTAACACAAATTTCTTATGTATCCTTCTGTGCTTGGAAATCAAAGCCAATGGATAAATATTTTCATTAAACTACACAATGTCAGTTTCGCAAATAAAATCAGTTTTTCAGTTTGCAAATATAAAGTAGCTATGGTTTTACCTTCAGTATCTTTCAATATTTTTTTGAAATATTAGAAAGTTCATTATTTAGGATAATTTTCCAATTGATATACCTTGTGAATTGCAAATTCAATTTAGGTTGACTTTCTTCAGCAAGCTAATAAAGAACTAGAGAAGCACATTCAAGAGCTTACTGAGACCAAGGATACAGTGACAACTGAAGTTGTTAACTTAAGTAACAAAAATGAAAAGCTCTGCCAAGAATTAACTGAAATAGACCAGTTAGCCCAGCAGCTGGAAAGACATAAAGAAGAAGTGCTGGAGACTGCTGACAAGGAGCTTGAGGAAGCAAAGGTAATGTCTGCCTACTCTGTAGGGGTATCCACTAGTGCTTCTAGCACAGTGAGCTTGAGCCCTTTTCACACTGGTGTTCAGGTTTGGGATTTAATACGTGTGTGTGTTTGATTTTGGTTTTGTCATTCAAACTGTTCTTAAGTGTTTTCCCACTCTGTAAATAATTGTTGATCATTGATTCTAAATGTTGTTTAGAAGTTTTTCTGAGGCACACTGTTCTTAGGATAAACTAAGATAAACAAAACTCTTAGGATAAACAAAACTCTGTTCTGTTTTACTTTGAGATATCCATCTCTGTCTTTTACCTCTGCCTTTCTGAGAGAGCCTCTCAAGTTTGTCCTTTGTCATTTTTTTGCTCAAGAATTTCGGTAAGGTGTTTTTAAAATTTTATGTCCTGACACATGTTGAAGTCATTAGCTAACATTTTCATCTTTAAGTTTAAGTAGATGCAAACAATGAAATTTCTAGTTTATTGTAAATATTGCTCTCTTAAAATAAAACTTTCATCACTATTTTAAATATAGTCAATAAAATTGAAATGATCCCTTCTCCTTTAAACCTTCCCAAAATTTTTTCTTATTTTAACATTTTATGTTTGAATGTCCTTTTATGATGAGTCTTTCATACCTGTCTGGAATAAAAAAGTGTACAAATTGGAATTTTTGTTTTTCAAATTTTTATGTGACTATAGTTAAAAGAGTTAACATTTTCCTATTAACAGTGTTATTGTTACCACGATTAGTAATCAGTCGACCAACATGTTTGTGACATATGTATCACAAACGTTGATAAATACAAAAAGGTAAAAAAAAATTATTGGAATGCATCTCTTAATGAACTATAATGAGAGAAAGTGATATCTTATTTAAAGCCCTCAGCCAACCCCAACATTTCAGATTTAAAATTTTTTGTATGTGTGGAATTGGGGTTTGAACTCAGGGCTTTAGCGTTTGCAAAGCAGGCACTCTACCACTTGAGCCACACTTTCAGTCCATTTTGCTCTGGTTATTTTGGAGATGGGGTCTAAGAACTGTTTTCCCAGGCTGCCTCAAATCACGATCTTCTTGATCTCACCCTCCCAAGTAGCGAGGATTACAGCTGTAAGCCACTGGTACCTGACTAATAAATTACTTTTTTCATGTATATTAGTGGGACCGGAGCTTGAACTCAGGACTCTTTATGCTGGTAAAGCAGATGCTCTACTACTTGAGTCACACCTCCAGTTTTCCAAAAGTTTTTTTTAATCTAGAAATAGTATGCTATTATGGCATAAATGAGATGTAAGCCTTTCTTTGGGGCCTGTTAAAAAGGCAATTGTGAAAGAGAGTGGAATGGAGAATTCATGTGATACCTGACCCACAAGGAAGGTCTTAGCTGGGCCACTTCTAAGAAGCATATATATATGAGATATATATATATATCTATATATATATCTCATATATATATTAAGGATTTAATATATATATCTCATATATATATTAAGGATTTAGATATTGATTCTTTAAAACCATACTATGGCTGGGGTATAGCTCAGTGGTAGAGCATACCATAGTTTTGTGTAATTTTTAAAAAGTCTTCATGCCAGGAGTAGATATAACTTGGTTTGAAAACCACTGCTGAACATCACTGAGTTGATTTTATGCAGGGTTACCTCTACACAAAGGAAACTACCGCAACATAATTAAAACCATTAATTAAAAGCACACAGCAGACATACTCAGTGTGCAGAGACTAAATGTTTTTCCTCTGAAATCAAGGTCACGTCTAGAGTACATACTCTCATCATCTCAATATAGTACGGAGCCTGGAGTGGTGGCATTCTCTTCTCATCCCAGCACTTGGGAGGTCAATACAGGAGGATTGTGAATTTGAGGTCAGCCTGAGTTACATAGCAAGACCCTGTACAAAAATTAAAATAATAATAATAAAAAGAACATAGTACTGAAGTCCTGCCAGAACAGTAAGATGAGAAAAGGAACCAAAGGCAAGCAGATTGCAATCTTTCCTTGAAAGTGACAATGGTCATTTTTCACAGTGCCGTGGTCACACATGCAGAAAACCCTAAAGATTTCACATATATGCACACACAAATAAAATTAACAAATGATGTCAACAAAGTTGCATGTTACAAAACACACAAAAATCAGGTGCAAGTCTATACACTAACAATAAAAAATACAAAAAGGAAATTAAATGACCCCATTTACAATAGCATCAAAAAGAATGCAATAGTTAGGAATAAATCTAACTAATGAGGTGAAAACTCAACACCTGAAGACTACAAAAATATTGCTGAAAGTTAAGACATTAAATGGAAAGATACCTTATATTCATGAATTGGAAGACTTAATATTACTAAATAATCCAAAATGATCTACAGATTCATTGCAATCCCAATGCTTTTTTTTTTTTTTTTTTTGTCATTAAAAAACTGAACAGTTTTATACCTCAGAATCTTGGTATACCAAAATTTCTTATGTACCAATTTCACTTGGGCCTGGTTCCAAGGAATTAATCTACATTGAGTTTCTTCTTCGTTCCTTCCTTCTTTCCTTTTTCCTTCCTTCCCTCCTTTCTTCTTTTTGTTCTTTTTTTTTTTTTTTTTTCATTTTTTCTTTTATTATTCATATGTGCATACAAGGCTTGGTTCATTTCTCCCCCCTGCCCCCACCCCCTCCCTTACCACCCACTCCACCCCCTCCCGCTCCCCCCCTCAATACCCAGCAGAAACTATTTTGCCCTTATTCCTAATTTTGTTGTAGAGAGAGTATAAGCAATAATAGAAGGAACAAGGGGTTTTGCTGGTTGAGATAAGGATAGCTATACAGGGCATTGACTCACATTGATTTCCTGTGCGTGGGTGTTACCTTCTAGGTTAATTCTTTTTAATCTAACCTTTTCTCTAGTTCCTGGTCCCCTTTTCCTATTGCCTCAGTTGCTTTAAGTATCTGCTTTAGTTTCTCTGCATAAGGCAACAAATGCTAGCTAGTTTTTTTAGGTGTCTTACCTATCCTCACCCCTCCCTTGTGTGCTCTCGCTTTTATCATGTGCTCATAGTCCAATCCCCTTGTTGTGTTTGCCCTTGATCTAATGTCCACATATGAGGGAGAACATACGATTTTTGGTCTTTTGAGCCAGGCTAACCTCACTCAGAATGATGTTCTCCAATTCCATCCATTTACCAGCGAATGATAACATTTCGTTCTTCTTCATGGCTGCATAAAATTCCATTGTGTATAGATACCACATTTTCTTAATCCATTCGTCAGTGCTGGGGCATCTTGCTGTTTCCATAACTTGGCTATTGTGATAGTGCCGCAATAAACATGGATGTGCAGGTGCCTCTGGAGTAACAGTCTTTTGGGTATATCCCCAAGAGTGGTATTGCTGGATCAAATGGTAGATCGATGTCCAGCTTTTTAAGTAGCCTCCAAATTTTTTTCCAGAGTGGTTGTTACTAGTCTACATTCCACCAACAGTGGTAAGAGGGTCTTTTCCCCGCATCCTCGCCAAACCACCTGTTTGTTGGTGTGTTGCTGATGATGGCTATTCTAACAGGGGTACGGTGGAAATCTTAGTGTGGTTTAATTTGCATTTCCTTTAAATTGCTAGAGATGGTGGCATCTTTTTCATGTTTTTCTGGCCATTTTGAATTTCTTCTTGGAGAAGTTTGTTTAGTTCACATGCCATTTCCTTTATTGGTTCATTAGTTTGGGAGAATTTGTTTTTAAAGTTCCCTGTATATTCTGGTTATCAGTTCTTTGCTCCTGATGTATTATTGGCAAATATTCTTCCTCCACTCTTGGGTGTTCTCTTCAGTTTAGAGACCATTTTTTTTTTGATGACCAATGCTTTTCTTTTTATAGAAATTAGAAAATAAGTGCTAAAATTCAACAGAATCACAGGAGACCTGGAAAACCAACAATTAGGAAAAAGTCATAATTAGCCATATTTCATTTCTGCATTTGTTGGTTTGTTTCCACTATAACACTCCTGTAACTCCATCCCTCTGTTTTTCTCTCTTTTGATCCCCCTGTTGTCTTGAACACAGTATACGAAACATGACTTCTATGGGCCTGTGACAAGTCTCAGAAATGACAAACTGGCTCAACAAAAGATGTCCTATTGATTTTGTGTATGTGTTACTAGAGTTTGAACTTCAGGGTCTCGTGCTTGCTAGGCAAGCACTCTACCACTTGAGCCGCCACCCCGGCCCTGTTGTGCTTTATTTTTCACAGGGATTATTTTTCCAAGGGCTGGTTTCAAACTGTGTTCCTCCTTGTGTAGCTGTGGTTACAGGTGGTACCAACACCCCAAACTTGTTTTGTCGAGGTAGGGTTTTCCTAACTTGTTTGCCCAGCCTGGCTTTATGTTTTTGCCAGTTTACTTATATTAAAATCCAACTTGGTACTTACTTGGTATATTTGTTGACTATAAAAGCACTCAGTTCTTTTTAATAGTTTTGTTTGGTGTAATGGAAACTATTTCCTAGTCAGAGTGCTTGTTCTGGTAGTCTTCAATTGAAAAATAGCAGTCATCTCAGCAGAAGCCTAGATACAGCGTACAGTCTGGAACTGGCAGAAAGAAAATCTTGCTTACAGGTTGAAAGTAGGTGTCACATGAAAGATGGTCACATGAAAGATTAAAAGGTTGTTGTTGTTGTTTTGTTTTTCTAACCATTACAGTGAAGAGTTTCCTCTAAGATTCAAAAGCAAGACTAATTTCACATTGTCTCTTTAGTATATCTTTAAACAGTCAAGCTGCCGGTGTTCTAGGTGATGGTAAGTCAAACGGGAGGAAACCATCTGTGATATGCTGGTGCATATAGGTGCTCAAGTGCGTTTAATTTTTTTTTGTATGTCCATTATAAGGAGTGTACCACAGTGGCTTCTTAATTCACCTATGGATAATTGAATTAATTAAACCTGCTAAGGTTGTCCCTCTGAATCTCAAAAAATTCTCCCAGGGGGTCAATCAGTAAAGGAGGTGTTTTGAATGTTTTTTGGGGAATGTGAACTCCATAAGGCTGTGTATTTTTTGTTGTTCACTATTTGTAATGCACACTGTAAGTGTTGCATAATCATAATACTTTGACCAAATGTTAATAGTGTTTGCTGACACTAAGGTAGTTATTTTCTTGTATTTTCCACTCATGCTGTAATTGTTATGTATTTTTAAGAAAGATAGAGGAGCGAACCAATTTGGTATAATACATGATATACATGGAAATATCCCAAAGAATACTCCCTGTGTTGCTATCTTAAACAAAAATGTAATTTTTTTCTTATATAAGAATCAGAGAATAGGAAGGTCCAACAGGTCCTGCGGGTGTGGGAGTTGGTTCCAATGGGAGGGGGAGGAGGTGGGAAAAGGGGGTAGGAGGGTGAATATAGTACAAATACTGCGTACACATATATATAAATGGAAAAATGATACCTGTTGAATCTATTCCAAAAAAGGGGGGAGAAGGATAAAGGAGAATGGTGGAGGAGTGAATTCAAGTATGAAATATATTGTCAGGAACTGTTTATAAATTTCACAGGTATCCCCACTCAGCACAACAATTTTAAAACAAGGCAAAAGGAAAGCAAGAAGAAAATGATCAAAGTCTATTAGAGACTATTTGATTTAATAAAATGTTTTCCTTTAAAAAATAATTAATGATGATATTAATAGCTAGTTACTATCTATTAAGCAGTCGCCATACCCAGTGGAAACACTGGGTACTGTGTTACTGGATATTTACTACTGCCCTCTTTTTTTTCTTTTTCCTTTTTTGGCAGCACTGGGACTTGAACTCAGTTTCACGCTTGCTAGGCAGGCACTCTACCACTTGAGCCACTCCTCCTTTTTTCTGTTGGGTTATTTTCAAGATAGGGTCCTCTTGAACTATTGCCCAGACTAACTTTGAACCTCAACCCTCCTGATCTCTGGCTCCCAAGTAGCTAGGATTACAGGCATGAGCCACTTAACACCTGGCTACTGCCTTCTTTTTAAATGTAAACTTTAATAATCTTTACTGTACAAGTACATATTTATTTAGGACAGTATGGTAAACAAATTAGAGTAAAATAAAAGTAATAATTTTACCATCTACAAGAGAACATTGTTTATATTTGGGTTTTATGGTGCTATTAGCCACAGCTGATAACTGTAATTGAAACTGTACATTTGAGTAATTAAAAGTGTGTGTACACATACCTGTATATGTGAATTACTATTATATAAGTGTGCTTACAAACATGTTTTACTTTTAAGTGCTGTTACATAAAGTTATTAGAAATCTTAATTATAGCATTAAAACTTGTAGGAATTAAACTTATGCCATAAAGAGAAGGAGAGAATGAGCAATGAGCTACTTCTGAAGTCAGACCTGGAAACTGTTGTTTATCAGCTTGAGCAAGAAAAGCAAAGACTTAGTAAAAAAATGGAAAGTTTTGCAGTTACAGGTAAGATACAGTGTTAATAACTTTAAAAAGTAATTGAGATTTGTTCTTGATACATTGTTTTTCTTAGTAAATGATCTCTCATTCATTCAATGAATAAACATTTGTTGAGTGCTTATGGTGAGCCAGAAAACACAGTAGGCATTATAGTGATAGTAAGAATCTCTCTCCCTCAAGGACCTTAAGGACTTTTTAATATTTTGACTGGTTGGTATATCTTGAATATCTTGAAGTAGAAACATATCCTTATTTGATATAAACCGATAATGGAATTAACACTAAGAAGAAGACCATTCTGAAGTGGTAGGAAATTGAAATACAGAATATTTGTAAGGAAATGCAGTAGTATTACCTCAAAATCCACACTTATTGTTTCTGTCTGGTTCCCACTGCTCCTTAGGTTCTCAGGCCATTCCAGTTGGCTTCCGTCTCCACCTCACTAACAGAACTGCTCTGCTAAATGTTCACCTCCATTGTACTGTATGCAGTGGGTGCTTTTCGTTTATTAGCTTGTTTCACTTTTTAGCATGTAACACAACTGCCCATTCCTTCCGCTCTCCTACTTTCTTCCTACCTCTCTGCTCACTCCTTGAGATGAATTAGTCAACTCATGAATTTGCTAGTTGCTTAATATATATCTGCTGAATGAAAGAAGTAGAAATGAATTAGCATAAATCATGAAATAATTCTAAGCCTCAGAGCTGTGATGAGTATCCATTGAATTAGGTTGAACTGTAAGAAATTGCCAATAGTTGGCTACTTTGGGCTCATAAAAAGATAATTTATGTGGTTAATAACTAGTAATTGTGATCTAGGTATGTGGGGCAGGCTTGTAGTCCCAGCCACTCAGGAGGCTTAGGTGGGAAGGTGAGCACAGGCAATATAACAAGACCCTGTCTTAAAAACAAAAACAAAAAGCCGATAATTGTGTTTATTTAAAGAAAGACAGGTTGTTTTGATCACTTACGTATGTGTGTATTATGCTTAAATTCAAGCTTAACAAAGTGGTAAATTTGAGCATATTTTCATTGTTTGCAGATACATTTTAGTGCATTTTCAGGTCCCTAGAAACTACCATGTAGAAGTTTTTTTGCTTCTATCTAAGGTACTAGCTACTACTCATCCTATGATAAGACAAATGCAGGGGAACTTTGACTTCTTGGACTTAATTTAAACTGTCAGTTTTTGCACTTTTTTTTCTCCTTTTTAACAGTTACCACTTGGTATGTCTGATACTTGTAAGCAATACACAGAAATGTTCATGATTTCTAGTAGCTTCCATTTAAAAGTTACTGATATTGAATCGACTAATCCACATTATCCATGCAGCATTGTTTTAAGATTTAACCATTTAATTTGCAGAAAGAGAACTTACTTTGGAAGTTGAAAGAATGAGGCTAGAACATGGAATAAAACGTCGAGACAAGTCACCTTCTCGTTTAGATACATTTCTGAAAGGTATAGAAGAAGAACGAGATTATTATAAGAAGGAGCTAGAAAGACTCCAACATATAGTACAACGAAGATCTTGCTCTACAAATTATTGTGTGCGTGAAAAAATTCCAACATTTAAAGCACCAGAAAAGGTAATATCCTTTAAGAAGAGTAATCAATAAGGTGAAGTATTATAAATCTTTTCTGCTTTATTATTCTACTAAATGTAACTTTATTCATATTTTTAAAAGTCCTAATTTTGATTTTTTTTTTCTTCCATAACCTTACTTTAACCACCCTTCATTAATTAGGAAAACTACCCAACAGGGTATAACATACTAATTCTAGGAAATTAAGGATAGGGTGAGCAGCTTGAGTACAAATCAGCTGGGGGAAGTACAGAGGCATGTGGGCTTCTAGAAACTAGATCCAGGGTCTCTGCTGCTGGATGTTTCCTCTCTTTCTAGGATTTACTTTCTGCATCACCGTCATTTTCTGTCTGGTAAGAGAGTAGCTTTGTCCTCATGGCAGCAACATGGCTTTCTGTCATCCTGAGCAGTGGTTGGACTAGTCAGGAAGGCATGCCACATTCTGTTGAGCTAGCATCTTCACAGGCACCTTCCTTCGTTGCTATGGGAGATGACTAGACATTGGAAGTGGGTGCTGGGTACATTATTTATTCACCACAGCCACATTTACAAGTTGACAGTCATTCAAAGTTTACTTTGAAACTATACACAGTGATGATCCCATTTACCCAGGAGGCTGAGGCAGGGGGATTAAAAGTTCGAGGCCAGACTGGGCAACATAGCAAGATCCTATCTCCAAAAAAAGTTCCCTTTGTATATATCATTTTCTTTTTTCTTTTCTGTTTTATCTCTCTCTCTCTCTCTCTTTCTCTCTCTCTCTGTGTGTGTGTGTGTGTGTGTGTATTAGGTATCAAATCCAGTGTGTGTGTGTGTGTGTGTGTGTGTGTGTGTGTATTAGGTATCAAATCCAGGGCCTTGCACATACATGCTAGACAAGTGTTCTATCACTGTATGTCATTTTATAATGGCATCTGTCATTGTATATATTATTTACAGTTGACCATGATTCATGAGAGATTAAATCCTTATTTTGTCTTAATTATTTTCAGTGTTTTATGATATCATTTTTGAGTTCTTTGAATTTTGTTTCTTCTCCTTCTCTCCTCTCCCATCTCTACCTCCTCTTCCTCCTCCTCCTTCTCAGCTTTGGAGCTATAGAAATTCTCAATGCTTATATGACCCTAACATCTATAGACTAGGTAAAACTAGGGGGGAAGTTGGGGGAAAAAGTCATTAAAATTCATAAGTATTTGCTTTTAGACTTGGCTGAATTTACTGTTATCTTTTCCATGAGGATCCTGTATCCATTGTCGAATAGTTTTGTGTCTTCTGATTAGACTTTGCTTTGTAACCTTATTGCCTATTGGCTGAAGTTTAATTTACTGTTATTAGTATAAACACTGTGCTATGTTATCAGTTAAGCAGAATGACTTGGTGGGGATATACAGTGGAAGTTCATGTGGTTTTTTACATTTCATTACATTCTTATTTTTCAGGAAAAATAAGTCATTGAATTGATTATTTTCTTTGTATAGAAGAATCTCTTACAAAAATGGTTTAAGTATTAAATGCTAATACTAATTTAATGCTAATACTAAATATTAAGTATTAAGCTTTGAGTAGATAATTATCTCAAAGCCTTTTTTTTTTTATTGGTTTGGGTTTTTGTTGTTTGTTTTTTGTGACAGGTTCTCACTAGGTAGCCCAAGTTGCCTTAAACTCACTAGGTAGTGAGGCACGATCCTCATGCCTTGGATCTGGGGTGCTTGAATTACAGGCTTATTCCACCATACCTAGCTTCAAAGCTTTAAGCCTAAATATTTGATTCCATTGCTTAGTATAGATTCACAATTGGAAGATAAATGAGAGATAATAGTAAGGTACTGCTACAATTAGAAGACACCTTTTCCCCTCTTTAATTTGTTTATTCTCTTTAAATGTTGTATTACCCATCAAAGACAAAGAATTCATTTTCTAGAATTCAGAAAGTCAGGGTGTTTGGAGTGATTTAGAGTCCCAGTAATAAATTGGAGGCATAGTAGGGGACAGTAGGTAAGTACGTGAGTGAAATGGGTGGTGTGTAAGACAGTTGTGAGTGCTGGCAACTAGGGAGTGCGTTCTCACCTGAAATTAGGTGTTTCAAATGTGCTTAGAAGCACTTTGTTGGCAACAAAGTCCTCTCTACAGCTGGACTTGGTACTAGCTGTGAGTTTTTAACTCCTGCTTTATGACAAACTGTTAGGTACAGTTTCTTATAATTGTAGTAATTCAGAAAAATGGGCATTTTTAATATTAGTGATCTTCATAAACAAAACCTCATTCATTGATTCTCAGTTGTATGTTTTAGGAGGACACTCCCCTTTTACCTTGTATTTTCCATGGTTTCCACTGGAATTTTGAGCATAGTGTAGTGGAAGGTGCTGTGAAGTTGGAGACTTGATTCCAGTTCCACCTCCACAAACGGACCTCTTGCAACCCTGTTTCCATATGTGCAAAGTGGGAAAAGTAACTACAATTGCTTGTGAAGGTTAAAGGAGATAATTAGTGTAAGGGTCCACCATAACACCTAGTTTTCAGTAAATGGCTCATTCCTTTATTATTTGCTGGTTTAAAGCAAATTAGGTCTAGGTGGAAAGTGAGGTTCTGTTCAGCAGCTCTGCACTGAGTGTCTGCTGTGAATGAGGCATGGAATACTGAAGAGAGTTCATAGATCTAAATTAGATGGAAGGATTCCTTGCAGAAAGTGACATTTAAGCTGAGACCTAAATAGTAATGAAAAGAGACTTAAACCTTTATTCATTGAGCTGTCATTTTTCTAGAATCTGCACAGATCACCTCTTTTCTGCAAAATTTTAAAATTTATATATAGTTAGGTTGTAGATTTTCTTTTATGGTTTTATACCTTGATTAAGTTCTGAATTCCTAATCTGCTTTTGTCCGGTAAATCATCTTGTCCTTTAAGGTGTCCTCATAGCTAATCTCATTCATTATGCTTTGATCCCGCTTATTTAACCATGGTTAGCTCACAGGTATCTACCATTTTCCAAGTCTACTTTGGCATGGTCTGTGCACTGTAGATACCGAATAATAAAGGCCAAGACTTCTTTTGAGTATAACAGGTTATCCCTTCTGAGGGCTCCTACATTTAGAAATATAAATTTGCCATCTTTATTTTTTTTTTTTAAAAACAATAGCAGTGAAGATAGTGGATCTTTTGAATTATCCTAAAATAATAGGCATATTCTTGTATATGTTAAGAATGTTCACTGGCTAACCTAGTTGGTGAATATATACTGCCTGGTAGAAATATTTACATTTATCTGATTACAGAAATAGACCTCATGTAGATGTGAAATTGGGACAGTTGAGGTTAGTGTGCCTGGTAAATAATAGTCATAGAAAACACTGAAGAATGTGCAAGGCTGTAGTTACTTGGACTGGGTGAACAGGCAGACACACACACCTGGTCCCTTCCTTGGAGAGTGTCTAAAGTAATGCATCAGAATCATTTAGAGGGCTTGATAAAACATGGTTACAGACCCAACCCTTTGTATATGCAACAAGTTCCTAGGTGCTGCTGCTGCTTTTTTTCTAGGGGTTCTACTTTTAAGTATGACTAATATGAACAGCTCCAGGAGAATGACTGGAAGCAGCTGATGGGATCTGATCAAGTAGTATTGTTGGCAGCTGGGTTCCTGAAATTTGCCCCGGTACTCCAATGTTTTCATTTGCTCTCATTATAGGTTTTTTTTCTTTAAATTGTTTCTTAATTACACTAAAGGAACTTCTGTTCTTTTTGTCTGTTAGCATCGTTCAGTCATCTGTATCACCAGCAAATTTGTGACAACCATGTGGTGATAATTATAACAAATGATAACTTCTGTCTTTTAATTATGTTTCAGGGTGATTACAATTCAGAAGTTCATCAGATCACAAGAGAAAGAGATGAACTTCAGCGTATGCTAGAAAGATTTGAAAAATATATGGAAGATATACAGTCCAATGTTAAATTGTTGACAGCCGAGAGAGATAAACTAAATGTCTTATATAATGAAGTAAGAAATGTATTATACTTAAACCAATAGATTATTTAGAACCAGTTAACTATAATGGAGCTAATATGTATTTTTCAAATTTCTGTAACATATGGACCTTGTGGTATTCCTTCATAATTAGAATTACTAGTAGTTTCTATTGTTATTCTATTCTCAAGGCAAAGATTTCTTTTCTTTATATTTATTCTTTTATTGCTTATGTTTGTGACAGGTCAATTAGAAATAGTCTCTTTGTTCTACAAGAAGGTCTTAGCCTGAATCTGAGCCAGATTTGTCTTTCTGATTTGATCATCCCCCATACATGTGAATCCCAGTGACAAACTTGGGTATTGTACCCACTGTTTGTAATATTGGCTATTAAGGACTTAGCCTATAGTGAAAAAAACATTCTGGAGGGGAAAAGGAATTGTTACAGCCTGGCCCCATTACAAAACCTCACTTGTCAGAGGCAAGGTGAGTCTAAACAAAGCCTGATGTCTACCACCAAAATTTACTTCCATACCCATCTCCCATGAAGTCCTATTGCTAGTTTCACAAGAGAAGACATGCAATTTAAAAGGTCAAGTTAAAAGCCATTTTCTCTTTTTGAGCTTTTTTGGGATTTGGAGTGCAAATTGATCCATTTTTGGAGTTTCCCCGTAGCAGGCTTAGATTTCAGCTTTCTTGGGTCTGCTTAGTTAATTCCTGCTTGTCCATCTGCTGTCTAGTTTCTAACAAGACACCTCTCTCAATCTCTGGGTCTTTTTGGTTTTATTGTTTAAGTTTAATCCTTTTGCTATTATTGAGATTTTGAAAGAAAGTGAAATTGGCATGTGTTTATTATGTCTTTCTTAAACAGAGCACATATCCAAAGTGTTTTTTATTGATACCTTTTAATTCTTTAAGGCTCAGGAAGAATTATCTGTGTTAAAACAAGAATCCACCCAAACCCAAGTCTCCAGTAATGTCATTAATTTTATGGAAAAGGAAAAAGATTTTGCATTATCTGACTTAAGAAGAATTATGTCAGAAAAGGAAGTCTTAAAGGAAAAGCTAAAAGTAAGTAATACAAATGATATATTTTTTAACGGTAATTTATTAAGAAAAAATATATTTTTATGTATGTTTTCTTATGAAGTGGCTATTTAGTATGTACAGCTGGATTGGGGCTTGCAAATAACAGCATGCTGGCCAGATGCAGACCACCCTGCTTAGGCATGGCCTGTGGCTAAGAATGGTTTTTGGTGTTTTTCAATTGTAGAGAAAAATATCAAAAGAAGAATAATATTTCCTTGTTGATAAAGTGTTACTGGAATTTGTTTACATATTGTCTATAGCTGCTTTTGTGCCACAGTGGCAGGGATGAAAAATTGCAACAAAGAAATTTGTTCCCACAAATGCAAAAATATTTGCTATTTGGTCCTTATTTTTTTTTTTTAGCAGCACCTGACTTTGAACTCTGGGCTTTGTGCTTGCTAGGCAGACACTCTACCACTTGAGCCACACACTCAGCCCGCTATCTGGTTCTTTATAGGAAGTTTGAATTCAAAAAGAAATTTTTCATGTGAAGAGTAACATGTTTTGTTTTGTTTTTATTATAATGATGTTAATGGAGATTTTCACATACCATACAGTCAATTCAGGGGTGTTTAGTGTCCTCACAGACTTGTACGACCTTTACCACAGTCAGCTTTAGAGAATTTTCATTACCACAATAAGAAACCTCAAATCCTTTAACATCACGTCTCGCCTCTTCCAGGTCTTCTTAGACATAGGCAACCACAAATTTTTCTGGGTGAATTTGCCTACTTTGGACATTTCATATAAATTGAATCATCAAATGTGTGGTTTGTTTTGTTTTGTTTGTGTGGTGCTGGGATCAAACTCGGGGCCTTGAGCGTGTGAGGCGAGCACTCTACCACTGAGCTACATCCTCAATCCAATGTGTGTTTTTCTTTTCACTTCTCACCTCTCTCATTAGCATGGCATTTTCAAGGTTTTTCTATGAATAATGCTGGTAGGAATATTCATTTAAAACTTTTGGTGTGGATGTGTTTTCATTTCTCTTGGGTATATAGCTGGTCATACGGTACTCTCTAGTCATATAACCACCGAGGCCAGGCTATTTTCCAAAGTTGGCTGTACCGTTTTACATTCCCACCACAGTGAATCAGGATTCTGATTTTCCCATATCCTCACCAAATCTTCATTTATCTGCCTTTTTTTTATTATACTCATTGTGATGGGTATAAAGTATCCATTGTGGTTTTGATTTGCATTTCCCAAATCTTTTTATGGGGCCTCTTGTCCATTTGTATGTATCTAGAGAAATATATGTACACATATATATTTTTTGAGAAATGTCTGTATCATTTGCCCATTTTTAAATTGAGTTATTTGTTCCATTATTACTGACTTTTTGTCAAGTTCTTTGTATATTCTTGATACAATCCCTTATCAGATACCGATTTGCAAATACTTTCCCCCATCCTGTGTGTCATCATTTTTCTTTTTTTGTCTTCTTGTTTTTGATGCTGGGGATCAAAACCAAGGCCTTACACAAGCTAGGCAAGCGCTCTACCACTAAGCTACATTCCAGCCCACCCTTTTACTTTCTTAATGGTATCTTTAAAGCACAAAATTTTTTAATCTGAACAAAATCCAATTTATCTTTTTTATTTCTTTTGTTGCTTGTGTTTCGGAGTCATGTCTAAGGGCAGTATTTTTTATTTCCTTTTATAATTTCCCCCCATATAAATATGCTAATATGTGTAAAGCACGTTATAAGAACTCAGCACATTATAAGTACTAGATACTATTACAAAATTCATAGTTTATAGGCATTAATATGAAATTAAAGCTTTGAAAATAGCAACTAAAGTTAGAAGCAAAAACAAGCCTTTTAAGGGTATCTCCACAAATTTTCAGTTAAAATTTTAGCCCAGAAGTATGGTTAAGAATGCTTTTAATTTGAATCTTTGGCTAACTGCCTTCCAGAAACTGTTTTCTTATAAAAGTCAGTGTTAAAATTACCAAACAGAAAACTTCAGTGCAATATGGCAGCTTTTAACACAAGCTACTCACTCATACTTTCCCATATCTATTGAAATGACCAGAAATTTAAAAATAGGATTAAAAAATGCAGTAATACTGAAAACTTTCAAAAAGTGATATTCAAACTACCAGACTTCTTCTGGGTTGTAGGAGGCAGGATTTCGTGAGTTTATAACAGATGTTTTACTTAAAAACTTAACTGATCATCTGAATCCTTAATAACCCTTCTGTAGTGGTTCCTGTTATTCTACTGTCTGCCCAGTTGTCTAATCTAGGCGTCATGACTTAACTCTCCCTGGAAGCTCCTGTCTCTCAGTTACTAATCATGTCTATCAATGCTACCTCATCAGTGAGATTCCACAGGGCTCTGTTCCAAGTGCTGTTTTATACGAGCTATCTTAGCAAATCTCCAGAAAGCCTTTCCTGATAGGTACTGCTTACAGATGAGGTCTCCGAATTACAGTGAATTCAAGTAATGTGCCCAGTCTCATCCAGCTATGAGTGACAAGGAGTCTTGCGCCTGAGTTCATGTTACTTTCCCTTAAATTTGTTTACTTCTTTATATTCTGTTAACCGTTCTATTCTGGTCATTATCCTGTCTAATGTACATTTAGAGTCATCTTTCAGAGATACAAATATGTTTATGTTACTTTCTGTTTAAAATCCATTAACTATTTTCAAGGACTTTAAAAGATTGGCTTTTGCCCAAACCTACGCCTAATGTCTCTTCCCCAAACTCACCCCTGCTGTTCCCTACCCCTTTTTTCCCTCAAGGTTTATTTGCCTTTTTCTTGCCTGCAGCCTTCTACATAGACTGTTGAAAGATATCTTCATCCCTTCTCATCTCCTTCTCTATCTAATTCTTATTCCATCCTTTAAATCCAAGTTAAACATCAAGAAAAGATAGGAAATGAATGCTGAATTCTAGATTCCTTTTGATATATTCCTGGAAGTCTTGATTAAGGTCTGTCATTTCTACCAGGCTATATATAATCTATGAAGACAGAAACTTTATCGAATTTATTTACTGCTGTGTTTCTGACATCTTGCTTGGTGCTTGGTATAGAACATATATTTTTAATTAATGGTGTTTGAAATTTTTTTTTTTTTGGTGGTACTGGGGTTTGAACTCAGGGCCTGCCCCTTGAGCTACTCCACCATCCCTTTTTTTGATGGGTTTTTTCAAGATAGGGTCTCTCAAACTATTTTCCCAAGCTAGCCTTGAACTGCCATCCTCCTGATCTCTGCCCTCCCAAGTAGCTAGGATTATAGGCCTGAGCCACCTGCGCCCAGCTGTTTGAATGAATTAATAATGAATAAATACAGCAAGGTGACCCTTTTCACCAGATGTATAATCCAAACACGAGGTGTCTTTATTTTTTATTTCTGATGAGTAATATCAGTGGAAATATGAATCTACATTAGAAGAACTTGGTGAAAAAGTTGTCACTCACCCTATACTTAGCAGCAGTAAGAGCTAGATAAGGTAAAATAACTGGAAATGTAGCCCTTGTGCTTATATTGTTGGCCAGCCCATTCTTGAAAGTGATTTGTATGTGGTCTTGTAGGATTCTGTTCCCTGTGTCCTTCTGGTCTTGTGTTTTCTTCCTCATAACCTGTCTTTTCTTACACCTCCTCTTGTGAGGGCTTGATCCTGAGCTTGTTAATTAATTTGCTGGGTTTTTCCCTTTATATGTGTGCTAATATGAATTCATCTACATAAATCTTTTTTCTTGATTTTTTCTTTTTTTTTCCCTTGTCTCTGTGTGATAACACTTTAATGACTTGTGTGTGTGTGTGTGTGTGTGTGTGTGTGTGTGTACTGAGGTTTGAGCTCAGGGACTAGCACTTGCTAGGCAGGTGCTCTACCACTTGAGCCGTGCCTCCAGCCCTGTAATGGCACTTTAATCAAGTTTACAGGCTCTTCCACAGCTATTAGCTTGGCCAGTCTTCTGCAGTGCTGTGAGGTGGGCAGAGCCAGGGCTGGCAACCCAATTTGCAGATAGGGAAATTGAGGCCCAGAGGGGAAGGACTCTGCCCAAGATCAAAGAAGATGATTGGTTCAGAGGCTCTTTTTCACAGCTATTTCCACCATTCCTGATACTGCAGCAGCTAAGGACCCAGCCAGTTTCTCTGGATCCTGGGAGACTGGAAGAAGAGCTTTCCACCATGAATCCCCACACTATCTGGCCCCAAGACTGGCCTAGACATTTGAAGACCCAGGATGGGCAACCTCCCAACCTTACACCTACACCCTTCAGCTCTGAAGGGGTCCCTTTAGAGAGCAGCCAGATGGCTGGGCTCCAGCTAGTGTCTGTCCTGGAGCTGCCTCCATGTGGCCCTTCACCCAAGCAGCACCACAGAGAGGACAAGGCCTTATGTCAGTTGTTATGTGGCAAGGTCAGCCAGGACCTCTATCATAGTCCCAGGCACTGATGCACACCAGAGTCATAAAGTCATAGAGCTCATCTCACAGATGAGGAGACATGCTGAAAGCTGATGCAGGTCACCTAAGGTCACAGAGCAAGTCAGTAGAAAGGCAGGACTGGGACCCAGGCATCCCATCCTATTCAGTGGAGGGCCTCTATACCCTCCATTTCCCTGCAGATGGAGACTTGACCTCAGACTTCTCCCTGAGAAGGAGCAGGGAGCCAGTGGGGAAGTGTTATAGGGGGACCAAGACCCCTGCCACCCCACCCATCAGATCCTGTGGGACATCAGCCTGGTGTTGAGTTAACGAAAAAAAGATCGAAGCTTGCAGATCTTGCATTTTTTTCTTGTGACGGCCCCTGGAGAAGCTTCGAGCCCTGGCTTCCTCCTCCTCCTCCTCTTCTTCCTCATCACTGGCCCAGGGCCCCCAAGCACCCCCACTGAAGTCAGGATGGGCCCGGGGATTCTCAGGAGGGTAGTGCACAGGGATGGCTGTGCGGTTATAGTCAGCCAGGCGGGCCAGCAGGGTGCGGACCACATCAGGCCGCTGGCCAGCCAGGTCCTCCCGTTCATAAGGGTCAGCGCTGATGTTGAAAAGCCACACAGCCTGCCGGACACTGGCCATCCGCTCCAGGTTCCACCAGCTTTCAGGGAAGGCAGCCAGTGTCTGCGGTGGGATCCAGTCACCATAGCCAGGGTCTCCCGTCAGTAGCTTCCACTCACCCACATGGATGGCAGCTTGCACAGCAGTGTTCCAGATGCCGAAGCCACCCTCCAGGGAGCCATGCCTGGCATGGTTGTAGAGTGGGTCAATGTTGTGCAGGATCTCCGTGTGTGGTGAGGCCCGGCCCTCACTGATGGCCGGCCACACATCATAGCCATCTAGCCCATCATCTGCAGATGCAGTGCCACCTGCCAGGCCCACCAGCATTGGGTACCAGTCGGTGATATGCACCAGTGCCCGGCTGGTCCATCGCTTCCGCTTGAGCAGGGAACTGTGGACAAAGCCCAGACCCCGCACCCCACCTTCCCAGTAAGTACCCTTGCGTCCTTGGAGGGGCCAGTTGCTGCCTCCTGAGAAAGTCTGGCCACCATTATCACTGGAGAAGATGATGACACTGTTGTTGTAGAAACCATAGCGCTTGAGAGCCCAGGTGATGTTGCGTACAGCCTCATCCATGCAAGTCACCATGGCTGCGTACTTCCTCCGTGCCACATTCCCCATGGTGCGATAACAGTACAGGTACTCTCGAGGTGACTGTAGTGGCGTGTGTACCGCCTGGAAGGCCACGTAGAGGAAGAGGGGCCGCCGAGGGCTGTGGCTTGCCAGGATGTGGCTGGCACGCTGGGCATAGAGCATGGTGGAGTACTGGCTACTGAGCCCCCAGGCCACACTCTCACCCTCATGCAGGTCAAAGCCACACACTCCCGGGCCATCACAGTTGTCATACGTGTAGTAGTCCCCATTACCTGTGAGCAAGCCCAGGAAGGTGTGGAAGCCCCGGCGGGTGGGCAGGCACTCTTTCCGGTAGAAGCCCAGGTGCCACTTACCCACCATGTGGGTGGAGTGTAACCTGCCTCCTGCAACTTCTGGGGCAGTGTCACCTGGTCCAGAGGCAGGCAGTTGGGCTCCCGTGGGCGGATGATGGAGTGCTGCAGTCCTGTATGGATCTGGTACCTGCCAGTAAGGAGTTGGCTCCGCGAAGGTGTGCAGATGGGCTGGATATAATAATTCTCCAACTTGACACCCTCAGCCGCCAGCCGGTCCACCGTAGGGGTCTCGATATCTGATCCATGGTAGCCCACGTCGTGATAGCCCCCTCCTGCAGTGTTCAGACCGGCTTGATTTTTTCTTTTTCCATTTATTCATAGCCTTTTTTAATTTTCTTATTGATTGTACTGGAGTTACATTGTGACATTTAACCAAACTTCTTACAATATATCATAGTTGAATTCACCCCTTCCATCATTCTCCTATATTCCCCCTCTCCCCATTCCTATATAAGTCTTGTTAAATGAATCCATACCATTCTTTGTCTTCTGCTACAACCACACATACAGAGAATGTAAAAGATCATAAGCTGTTGTGCTTTTTTAAAACAAAAAGCATTGCTTTTGTAAAATGCATAACTTTCTTTCTAAAACATTGCTATATAAAAAGACAAATACAACAGCACTATAGGCTTCCATTGCCTAAATTGGTAATTTTATTTTATTATCTGACATAAACATTTTTTATAAAATTCTCTTTCAGAATATCGAGGAAATGGGTGCTTTTGGAAAATCAGAATTAGAGAAAACTATTGAACATTTGACATGTGTTAATCATCAGGTAATTTACCAAACTGGATTTGGGGCATATTTTATTATAGTAATGGCTATACTTTTAATATACTGTATGTCCTTAAAACTGCAACATAATATGCTAGTAAAGATGTAAGGCAAAATGGGACTCTGTACTCTGAAGGCTGATAACTTGGCTTCAAATCCTTCTCTGTCTCTTGCTACCTATAGGCAAGTTACTTGGTTTTTCTATCCCTCTGTTTCTTTATTCATAAAGTAGTAGTAGTGCCACTTCTTCTCAGGGTTTTTATGAGAATTAAATTGGTTAATAATACATGTGAAGATCTTAGAAGATTGGCATATTGTAAACACTCAGTAACTGTTGTAAAAACAGTCATATAACACAGGCACGGAGTAAAAAGTGAAAGCCACTGTCATTCTTCATCACAGTTACCCTCCATATCTGTGGGGATTGTCTCTAGGACTCTATCAGATACCAAAGTCAGGTGTGGACTTTGCTCAAGTCCCTTACCTAAAATGGCATAGTATTTGCATACAGTCTATTTATCTCCTCCCCTATACTTTCAAATCACTTAGATTACTTGTGACACCATTTACAGTGTAAGTGCTGTGTAAATAGTTGTTAAACTGTGTCAATAATGAAAAGAAAAAGTCTGGGCGTATTCAATACCATGCAACCATTATAGGCCTAACTACATAACATGCACTCTGCAGTTATCACGTGGATCACGTGGGTACAGAGGGCCTACTCTACTTTGACTACACATTACTTTTTTGTAACAATTTGATATGTTTTCTGACAGTTTTTTTTTCTTTGTTTAGTTTTGTCTAGTTCCTGTTACTGTGTCTTCACTTCTTTTACTTCTTTGTGTTCTAATTCTATAATCTGGGTCAGTTGAGTTTTTCTCCTCATCATGGGTTGTATTTTTCTGTCCCGCCCTCCTCCGTTTTTTGTGCAGTTGGTAATTTTAGACTGGATACAAGACATTGTGAATTTTACCCTCTTGGTTGCTAGACAACTTTTTTTCGCAGCACTGGGGTTTGAGCTCAGCCTCACGCTTGATAGGCAGGCACTCTATTGCTTGAGCCACTCTACCAGTCTGAGTTTTTGTTTTTTTGTGTTGGAGGTCAAACCCAACACCTTATGTGTGCTAAGCAATTGCTCTATCACTGAGCTACACCCCTAAGCCTTACATAATCTTTATTCCTACAAATACTTTTATTTTTTTCCTATGTTTGGGTTTGAACTCAGGGCCTTGCACTTGCTCGGCAAGCACATTTGAACCATACCCTCAGCCCTCTTTGCTTCAGTTATTTTTCAGGTACAGTCTTATACTTTTTGCCCAGGCCAGCCTCAGACCACCATCCTCCTACCTATGCCTCCCTTATAGGTGGGGTTACAGATGCCCACCACCATGCCTGGTTTATTTGTTGAGATGGGATCTTGCTAACTTTTTGCCTAGACTGGCCTTGAACTGCAATCCTCTGCCTCCTGAGTAGTTGGCATTATAGGCAGGGAGTCACCATGTCTGGTGTGGTGGTACATGCCTGTAATCCCAGATACAAGAGAGGCATAGGTAGGAGAATTGTGGTTTGAGGCTGGCTCTGGCAAAAGCAAGGGACCCTATCTGAAAAATAACTGAAGGGGCATGGTTCAAGTGGTAGAGACTTATTTAGCCAGCATGAAGCCTTGAGTTTAAAAAAAAAAACAAACAAAAACACCTTTAGAATATGCTACCTGTTGTCCCATGAATTATAAGGTTTTCAAATGACTGATGGGAACAGGGAGCAGGAACTGTGCCTGGCCTTGAATGTTATTCCTGTACTTCTAGATGGTCTTTTTCCTAGTCTTGGTTAGCTCTCTGTACTGAGCTCTGCTCAGCTGAAGACTCAAGAAGTTTATAGATCTCAAAAGCTTTCACTCTGTACATCCCTCTAGTAGGTGCCCTTCAGACTCCTGCTGCTTTGGCTTTCCTTCACTCTTAGTCGTGTCCTCTGCACATAGGGGACCATGAGGCCATCCCTGGTAATAAGCTGGAGTAGTTGTAAAGTTCATATCATTTGCTTCTTGTGTGTCTTTGAGGCTTCTTTGCTTAGTTATGTGAGGCAGGAAAGTAAATCTGATCCCTGTCACTCTAACTTGATCACAAGCTGAAAGTAAGTGTTAATAATCTGGAAAATATATCTGAAGAAAGTACTAGAAGTCATTGGAAAGAGACTTGGAGATAGGGACTAGAAAGGAAGTTAAAATGTTAGAGAATAGAATGAGAAGGTCTAAATATATACTTAGTGAGAATTTAAGGGGGATATAATAGAATATGTGGGAGAGGCAGTATTTGAAGAGATAATAACTATTTTCTAGATATTATGAAAACACAAATTCTTTGATTCAGAATGCACACTGAATTTCAGAAGCATTAAAGTCCCTAGCAAGATAAATAAAAATAACACTTTTTAATAGGGATAAATACATTATGCATCCTTATTGAAAACATTACAGAAGACCTAAATAGGTGAAGAAATTTATCAGTTTTACTGAAATGGTGACATGATACACTGTTTCTAAAAATTATATAAATTCTCTCTCAAGGTTTATATGTGTATGCTATGAAAATTGACAGTTGATTCTAAAATATACATGGAGACAAAGAACCAAGAATCATGTAGAAGTTTTAAAAATGTGGTTCTGGACTTGCCCTACCAGACATGAAGGCTTTAAGGTGATCTTAATTAGATAGGGATTAATATAGACTGATAAAAACCCAGTAGAGAGCACACCCACAAATATAAAGAAACCTGACATATAAAAGAACCATTGTTTTTGGGACAAGTGGCTATTCATCTTAAAAAAAAAAATAAAAAGTTGACTCCACCTCAAATATACCATACCCTGAAATCATTTCAAGGATACTTATAGCCTTGATGTTCAATACATATACATTTTTTAAAGCAATGCAGAAGAAAATCTTATCAACCTTGGAGAAATAGTGTTGAGAACTTGTCTCAACATTGTATATTATTTAAGAAACAACCATCTGAGGTAAATACTAATGTTACTGGTTTTTCACAAGTAAGGAAACTGAGACCAAATGGAAATTTGCCCAAGTTCACATCGCTAGCAGGTGTCTCATGCCAGAGTGTATGCTAGTAAATCACACATACATAAATGAGTTCATTTTTTAAAAGAAACATAGATAGGACCAAACTAACAAAGGCATCTTTGTCTGTTTAATAGTGACAGATTGAAGAGACAAACCACTAATTGAGAACTTGCTACACATGTAACCTTCTTCTCCTCCCCAATCTCCCCAAAATTCAACAGAAGATGTGACTAGATACTTCATGGAAGAAGAAATTATAATAACTAATGTAAAAAAGATGTCCTACCTCAATAATAGGTGAAATACAAAGTTAAAAGACAGTAAAATCATTTAAAGTCCATCAGATCATCAGAAATTAACAACTTGTAGCAAGTATTAATAACTGTTAGCATTGTGTCAATCAGCCTGTTGTCACTGTGACAAATAACCTGAGGAAAGAACTGGAGGTGTGTTTCAAGCCTTAGAGTGCCTGTCTGGCAAGTGAAAGGCTCAAATATCTGAGGAAAACCACTTAAAGGAGGAAATTATTCCTTTGCTTCATGGATTTAGTGGTTTCAGTTCATGGCCACTGGCTTCATTGTTCTGGCTCTGGGTGAGGCAGAACATTATGGGAGAGAGGGTGTGATGGAGCAGAACTGCATGGCAGCCAGAAAGCAGAGAGAGTGAGAAGGGGCAATGGACAAGATACATTCTTCAAAGGTCCCAGTATTCCTCCTGTGAGTAGACCCCATCTCTTAAAGTTTTCACCACCTCCCAGAATAGCACCGCCAGCTGGGGACCAGGCCTTTAACATTTGAGTCTGGTGGTGGGGGGAACATTTCATATCACGCTATAACAGGCATTATCTAGCAAAGGCATACCCTGTGAGCAGACCGTTCCATTTCTAGATGTGCACCCTCGATGGGCGGCAGCACACTCTAGCCCTCAGGCCAAATGCAGCCTCCAACTGTTTTTGTAAATTGAGTTCTTACCAGAACACAGATTTGCTTTTTTTCTGGATTACCTGTGCCTGCTTTTGTGCTTCAGTGGACTGGTGGTGATAAACTATAGGTCACACAAAACCTAAAATATGTATTTTCTGGCAGCATACAGAAAACAACCTAGGACACAGAATATTACTGTGCTGCAAATATCAGTGAATGAGTTACTAACATCAACATGTATGAATCTTACAAATGTTGCCTCAAAAGAGCAAAAAGCTGAAGAAAACATGTAATATGGTTCCACTTATATAAAGTTCAAGAACATGTAGAACTAAGTACTATGTGATTAGGAATTCGTGTTACTGTCTTGCATTAAAGAGAAGCAGGAAGACGGCTATCAAGGCACATGCCTCAGTTACTTGAGAGGCTGAGGAAGGAGGATCACTTGAGCACACATTTCAGTGACAGCCTGGGCAACATAGCAAAACTCCATCCCACCCTCCCACCCCCCAAAAAAGAAAGAAAATGAAGGAAGGAGAGAGGGAATGAGAGAGAGACAGAAAAGAAAGAGATGAGAAACACAGATTCAGGATAATAGTTATTGTGGGGTAGAGGTAGAGGATGTGATTGAGATCTGCCCATAGTTTGAACAGTTCTGAAAAAAATTTTTTAAGGCATGTGATAGGTACACAATGTTCATTATTGTAATTCTTTGTAGTGTTCATACACTCTTGTTTGGGGAACATAGTGTGTATGCCTATTCATTTTTATGTGAAATCCACACTTTTAATTACAGTAGCCTTCTAGTTTTGTTTAATCTCATAAGGCAATTCTCTCTGCATTCTTTTTCGCTCAAATTTTTGGTTTTTTTTTTTTGAATACTATTCTTTGTAAAATTTAAGCTACCACCCTTTCAAAAGAGGTTCAGTTAGGACTTTATTCGAATTTCATTGAATTTTTGATTATTTGAAGAAATTTTAATATATTTATGGTATTGCATTCCCATCCAGAAACATGGTAATCTTTATGTCAAGTGTAGTTATAGTTTATGCCCTTCAGGAAGTGTTTTGGTTTCTCATATAAATCTTGCCCATTTTATGTTTGGGTTATAGTATTTTCTACTCTCGTTTTTCCTCTCTACTTACTGCTTTTTTGTTTTTTGTTTTTTTTTTTTTTTAGAAGTCCTTTAATTTTTTTTTTTACTCTGCTAATGGTTTCCTTTCCTGTTTCATTGCTATTATAGATTCTTTTCTTCCTTTTTATTTTTTGTGTTTATCTTTCTTTCATTTCAGTGATAGTGAGGAGAGATAAATATATATGCCCATTCTAACATCTAGAACCTAAGTATACACATGACTTTGTTTATGTAAAGATAAATCTAATTTATTTCCTTAATTTTCTTTCAGAAATAATACTAAAGAGAACCTATGAAAAATAATATTAAGATATTAACATATATGCCTATTGATTTTTAAATTTAAATTATAGCTTGAAAGTGAGAAATATGAATTACAATCTAAAATGTTAATAATGAAAGAAACAATAGAGTCATTAGAGAACAAATCAAAATTCCAAGCTCAAAAACTTAGCCATGTGACTGGTGACTCATCTCATCAGAAAACAGAGATGAACTCCCTTAGGTAAGTTTATTGAAACTTTTGTTATTTAACTTTTGGGAACATGCTTCTGGTTATGTGAGGTTAATAACCATGGCATTCTGGACTGTGCCTTTGAGCAGTACTTTCCTAAGGTGGCCTTGCAGCAGGTCGCCTAGCAACGTTTAAAAAGCATTGACTTAGGGGCAGAGGAGTTCTAATTTACTGAGTATATCTGGGTAGGTTTTAGGTATCTGTATTTTAAAAAACTTTTATAGATCACTATGATTGTATGCAAGTTTTGAACCTGTCTCTTTTTCTTGCCTCTTTTACAGGAATGTAAAGTGTAAATATTTATCTCCTATTTTTTAACCCTTTCTGACTTAGAAACATAAATTTTTAAGCAAGGGTGCTGGGGTGGAGGGAATGAGTGTAGCATGCCTTTTAGGAACCTGATTCTGGTAGAAATGGTGGACGTGATTTTAAAGTCTGAGAGACTAATGGCAAACAGTGGATACCAAGGGTCAGAACCAAAACAGTGGCAATGACCTTGGAGAACAGAAGGTAGATTTAAGAAATAGTTCTTACAGAAAACCAAAAGGCTTGACTGACTTACATGGGTATGAAAGAGAGAAGGAATAATCCAGAATGTATACTTTAGGACATTGCATTGTTGGTTAACCATTAATCAATTTCAAATACAAAAGACTGAAGGAAACAAAGAGCCAACCAAGAGTGTTAGATTTTTTCCTGGATTGGATAGCAGGCACAGTAAAAAAGATGACTGAAGGTCAGCAAACTTCTGAAGAGTCAGAGGAAATATCTCTAAATTACATTTACAGCAGGAATCAGGAAAAGATTTTCAGATGTCAATAAGACATTACATCTGTGAAGTAACTCGAGATCAGTAAGAATTGTAGTAATGGTGATTTTTTTAAAAATCAACAAATTAAAACAGGATGGTTATCAAATAGTAGATTGGCTGTTGTGGAAAACTGAGTTGGTAAAAAAAACAAAAACAAAAAAAAAAACTCAAGAAATTCACCTAGAACTCAGAAGGACAAAATGAAATGATCAGGGAAAGAAAAAAAAAAAAGACACACATCCCATATACAAAAACTAAGAATCACAAAAGTGTATAATAAAATAAATGACAAAAGTGAGCATCAAAGGAATAATTAAGAAAGGAAAGGTCTAAGAGGGTAATTCATACAGGTTTTCTGACTATCAAACAGTTTAAAGAAATAAAACTAAGAACTGGGTTATTCGATTGACGAAAGAATACTGTGTTTGTGACTCACATAGAACATCTTTAGTTTTGCTCTTTTACTGCTGACTGTATATCCTTTATAAGGTAGGCTTTAGGAAGAACTTAGGTAGACACTATATTTTCTACTTCCTTCTTGTCTCTTTCTTTTTCTTCCTTCCTCCCTCCTTTCCTTCCTCCCTCCCTCTTTTCCTTCCTACCTTCCATCCATCCATCTGTCCTTCCTTTTTCCCTCTACATAGATTGGTGAAGGAGAGCTGAGTTGGACCAGCCTCTTCTGGGTCATGTCTATATTCAGCTCCAAAGTACAGTCAGATACCATAATGTGTTTTTGTCTTATCTTTGGAGTTACTGATCTACCCTTTTCACTTTGTATCCTGCTGACAGGATCTGGCATTAATCCATTTTGCTCTTTAGCTCATAGCTACAACACCACTTTTCTTTTTTCACAGAAGGCTCAAGAAACAGAGCTTTCATTGCCCTATCTTGGATGTCCTAGTTTATAGCTTCTTTGCAGTTTTCGTTCTTATACTAGAATTCTTTTCTCTTTGGAGCTCAATCTGCTTAGAAGTCATGTAGTCACTGTGGTATAGAAGATTATGAGAATCTTGCATACCCTGGTGATATTGCATGATTTCATCACTATTTTGCACATTCACAAAAAAGTACAGCTTATCTCATTTCTTAGGAGTGTGTCAGTCACATTTTTCTATATCAGCAAACATTGGTAGAACCATTTAGTTTAAGCTGACAGGGCCAAATCCAAAGCTAAACCTAATACAGACCATATAACCAGACTCTATGGAAGCAAAGGCATAAATCTTATGCCATTTTCAATATGGTTGATAGAATGCTTTTTCTCCTTTAATCATATCAAGTTCAATTTTCCTTGACATGAAGATATTTAAGAAGCTGAATCTCAGGTAGATGAGTCATGTTTCTTTCTCTCTCCTTCATGGATGGACTCATCTTTTTTCTTTCCTATGTCTTTTTTTTTTTTTTTTTTAAGGACCAAATATCACTTCCACTGAACAGGTTTTTCTGTATCTGCTTTGCATTAGGCACAGTCTCTTACTGAAATAAGAGTCTTTGGTCTAAAAGACTACAGCATCAGAGGACATAATATGAAATCCCACTTTTTAAAGTTAAATGACTATTAATTGCAGCATTTAATGAGACCTGGTATTTTATACCCCAAATCAAAATTCCATAATGCTATAAGGGAATGTCTCTGACCAGGAAAAATGTTGGCTTTTTTGAGCATGCTAGTCAATCTCCAAAACCAGAAACATTCGTCAGTAGTCAGTATTTTAGACAATGTGGACCATACAGTTTCTGTCACACCTTCTTAACCCTGCCTTTTATGCTCAGAAATCTACAGTAAAACATGGATGCCACATCAGTATCTTTTTCTTCTAATAGACTATTAAAATTACAAACCTACCACTCTTAGATGTAGCTTCATTTTACCACTTAAAACACTTTGTATTAATAAATGACCCTTTAAGATCTTTATTTAAAATATACTCTATCATGAATGGAAATAATTTTGTCCCATAAAATGAGAGTGTGCAGAATTCCATGTAATGTAAAGTAACTGGAGGATTTGAGGCTAAGGGATAAACTTAGCCAGTTTAGTGTCTGTTATGTGTGGAGCCAGAACTTGGTGGGAAATCATTACTTTTTTTTACAATGTTTGTCACACTTTTGAAGGTAAGAAACTTCATTTTCCCTAACACCTTCTCAAACAGTTCTCAAAATTTCCTTCCCAAACACAGTTATGTACAAATATCGTGGCAGTCACTCAGCTCTTTCTCCCTCCTAGCTTTCCACCCCAGTTCTTTCATTAAGAAGCCCTTTTATCTCAGCAGTACTTCAGTCAGGAAGATTACTTCCAAGGTGTGGTATCTGTGGTTCCTTTTCCTCTTTACACTAGAATATAAAAAGGCAAAGCAATTTTTAGGATTCACCCAAGGGCTTCCTTTATATAACAAGATGTTATCCTGCCTTCCTTTACCAATTCCACTTTTACCAGCAAATTACCTCTCTTATTAGGTTTCATATAAAGAGATTGTTACAAAGCCTAGAATTTTAAGCACTTAATCTCCTTCATTAGAGACTTTGTGGACCACTCCCATTTTCAAAAGTCCTCTATTTAGTCTCCTGACAGATGCTTCCTATCCACATAGAGGATGTTGATCTTCCTGAATTCTACATAGAAGGCAGTATAGTATAGCGGAAGAACATTGATACAAACTAGATTTCCTAGATTTGCTGCTGTTGCTTCTTTTTTTTTTTTTTGCCTTTTCTAGTTTTGTGACCTTGTACAAGTTATTACTTCTTTCTGTAATATTGGGATAATAGTTCTAATTATGGACATCTTCTAGGAATAAATGAACCAATGTGTACAATATACCACACCCTGTGTTATATCACACAAGACAGTACTTCCAGCTTTGAGGAACAGCTTGAATATAGTGCTGTTACCTGAGCCTCAGATAATTTTATGAATTAAAATCTCTTGGACTTAGTGTCTTTCTGACATGGTTTGGTTATATGGTTCTAAAGAAGTCAGTCCCAGCTCGACTCTTCTTCCACCTCTTGGTCACTGTTCACTTCCTATTAGAACAGTCTCGTCAGATGCTTGTCTTTTAGAATATCTCGGTATTGCTGGTAAAACTTGTTTATTTCTATAGTAACGTCCCATTTTACGAGTGGTTTCAGAATCCAAATCTCTTCTCCATTAGGCATTTCTAAGCTAAGCTACCCTTACTATATTTTTCCCCGTCTTATCCTCAAGAGAACCTAACAAGAACCTATGGAATTCTCAACAAACAGCCTGAGGTGAGAGCCATGTCTTGCCAGCCAGGCAGGGTAAGAACTCACAAATCAGGGCTTAAAGCATTCAGAAGAGTCTATAAAGGGCTGGTGTCGGGGCATTACCTAGAAAGCATAAGCACCTGAGTTCAAACCCCAGTCCACACTTAAGTAAGTAAGTAAAAAATAGATTGTATGGCATGAGAGAAAATGATTGCTGTTAGTTTCCAGGGACATTACTTCTAAAAAATAATCTTACTGGTCATTAACAGATTCCTTGGATATTGTCCTTATCAATTTTTTAAGCTTCTGTGCATCCTTTCTTTAGCTCCCTAAAACCAGTCCTTAGTATTAAATCCCCCATTGCACTGTAAGAAGTGTCTGCCTTCCCTGCTTACTATGGCCTGTAGTTAACTAGGCACCCAGAAAGCCAAACTAAGAAATAGAATTACAAGCTCACACTGGTTATGATGGTCAGGATTTATGTAGAGTCCTTTGATGTGTTAGGCCATACTGTATGACTAGGACTTATTTTTAAGCCTTCTTATTTAAAAATTATTTGTGTGAATAATTTGATGAGTACCATTTATTTTTTTCCATTGATTCTTTAGGATGGTAAATGAACAACTACAGCGATCAATTGATGACTATCAGCACCGACTTTCCATAAAAAGAAGTGAACTTGAATCAGCTCAAGAACAAATTAAAATACTGGAGGAAAAAATAGGTAATTATTTTAAAGTTGACTTTTCTAGTCCTAATTTACTTTGTCTAACTAGCAAACATTTCTCTCCGTTTATAGATAAACTAACCTTTAAGATGACTTCTCAGAATGAGGAGGCTCATGTAATGAAAAAGACCATTGGTGTTATTGATAAAGAAAAAGACTTTCTCCAGGAGACTGTAGATGAGAAGACAGAAATGATTGCAAACTTGCAAGAAAACCTAGCTAACAAAGTATGTCAGCATTAACTATTTTTTTCCAACATCTGAACACAAAAGATTATTTATCCTGTGTTTCAAATGTGCAGTTCTTAGCGTCCATGTATAAGTTTCTTAGACTCAGGGCCATGTCTTCTGATGCTTAAATTTCTTTTTATACTCATAATTTGAATCTTCAAAATGTGATCTTACCTATTTCTAGAATGTGATTTTGTTAGATCTTATTAAAGCAAACTCTTTAAAGAAACCACTCAAGTTCTTAGTATGGGTGGAAGCATATTGTTGTGTGAGGTATAAATGGGACAGGGCAATATGTTTATTTGAGTTGTCTTTTATGCATAATGTATATAATTGAGCTATATACTTAACTATATAAATATGATAGATTATACAAATTTAGCTAAAGACATTCCTATGTGAATGGCTTAGAATTTTTTATATTTCTACAGGAAAAAGCTATTGCTCAAATGAAGATAACTGTCTCAGAGTATGAATTAGCTATTAAGTAAGTAATTAATGAAATAGCATCCTGCTCTTTTTTTAAAAGAAAATTTCAATGAATATGGTTATGTCTACAGAAGGAAATTTTTATTTTTATTCTCTCCATTTTTTTCCCAATGGCAGCATTGTTTCCTCAGTCTCCTGCTTAAAAATATGTTATTCTCTTTAACTTTCTCTCTTCCTCAGTCATCCATATCTGATTACTTATACCTTATTAACTATTCTTTTGCACTTCTACTTGCTCTTTATTTTTACTGTAATTACCCTGGTTGAGTCCTGATTATTAAAACTTAGTTTACTATAATAGACAATTTTGGATTTCTTCTCCAGCTAAACCTATCTTGTGCATTTTTGCAAAATTTTATATTTTATATCTAATCTCTCCAGAAAGATTATAAGCTACTTTAGAACAAAAGTCACTAATTATATTTATTTTACATTCTTTTATGTTTTTTATGATAGTGGGATGTAAATATTTAATACTTCATAATTAAATGTATTATGTTTGATTCTTAAGACTTGGAAGTTTTCTGTTTACTTGACTTTTGGAATAATATATTTGTTTTGTGGGTTTATTTGCTTGTGACGATAGGAAGAGAACTAAAATACCCGATTTACCTAATTTGTCAGTATCTAAATGCAGCAGTTATAATTCTTATGTCCTTAATATACTTAATTCAGACTGCAACAGTTTTCTTTTAAATTAAGTACAGTTCTTCAAAAAGCTGTAAACCACACCATTCATTTAACAGAGAGCTAAATGATACATTGACTAATCGGGACCGGGAGATAAGCAGCCTCCGGCGCCAGCTTGATGCAACTCACAAAGAGCTTGATGAAGTAGGAAAGTCGAGAGAGATATCTTTTAAGGAAAACAGAAGATTACAAGATGATCTGGCTACAATGGCAAGAGAAAACCAGGTATGAACACAATGCATAAACATTTTAGTTTTATAGTACCTGTTCATTGTTTGCCAAATATTGAAGTTCTAAATATTTTCTTCTAAAATGTGATGCTATAAATACAAGCAATGGAAATAATTCTTTAAGGAGCATAGCATTTGAAAAATGTAGTTTAGGGAACCAGGCCCAGTGCCCTGGGCACGTGGTGAATGCTTGGTGACTGAGTCATCCCCCGTCCAGTGGTGAGAAACTGCACCTCAGCCTGGCCACTACTCTGTCCTGCCTGGATATTAAGACTAGAGATGATTAAACTTCTAACCGACAACTTGGCCTCAGATGCATAAATACTTCTAGAAATATAAGTATTATGAAAAAACAAAGCAACATGTCCCCTCCAGTAGTCAATAATTCCACAATAAGGGACTTGAATGATAGTGAAATGGATGAAATTTTAAACAATAAACTTAAAAGAACAATGTTAAGAATGACCAATGAAGTTAAAGAACACATGTTAAGAATGATCAATGAAATTAAAGAACACGTGTGTAAGCACTTGGATTAATTCAGTGAGGATACAAAAAAATAGCCAAATGAACTCAGAAAGAACTCAAACAGCTGAATGAAATAAGGAAGACAATGCAGGATATGAAAGGGGACTTCAATAAAGGTACAGAAATTCTGGAAAAAAAAATCAAATTGAAATCCTCAAAGTGAAAAGCTAAATAACTCAAATAAAAAACACAGTTGAAATCTTTGCTAATAAAATAAAACAAGTTGAAAATATAGTATCAGGGATTGAAGATAAAGTAGATGAATTAGATCAATCAGACAAAGAAGAAAAAATACCAAGAAAATGTGAACAGAACATACAAGATCTCTAGGACACCATCAAAAGACCAAATCTATGAATCATGGGTATAGAAGAAGAGGTACAAGCTAAAGTCATAAATAACATAAAGTAACAGCAGAAAAGTCCACCAATCTTGAGAAAGAAAGTATAAACCCGATGCAGGAGTTTTTGAGAACATCAAACAGGCAAGATTAGAAAAGACATATTGAAACACTAAATAACAGAACAAAGAAAGAATATTGAAAGCTGCAAGAGAGAAGTGCAAAGTCACCTATAAAGGCAAACTCATCAGTATAACTATAGATTTTTCAGCAGAAATGCTAAAAAGAGGGAGGTTATGGAAGAAAATAACTGTAAGCCTAGATTAATGTATCCAGCAAAGCTATCCTTTATAACTGAAGGACAAATAAAAACTTCCATGATAGACAAAAACTAAAGGAATTCATGACCACTAAACTAGCACTGCAGAAGATACTGAAGAGAATCCTGCACATAGAAGAGGAAGATAAACACAACCAGGAAACTACAGGAAAGACTAAATCCCACTGTTTAAGTATATTAGCAAATGAGGGTAAGGAAAGAAGCATACATCACAAAAACAACAAAATGACAAGAAATACTGCATATCTTTACATAATGTTAACGCTGAATGTTAATAGTCTCAATTCTCCAATCAAAAGACCTAGAATGGTGGGTTGATTTAAAAGCAAGACCTGACATGCATTTCAGGGCCGGGAATGGCTCAAGTGGTAGAGTGCCTGCCTAGCAAGCACAAGGCCTTGAGTTCAAACCCCAGCACTTCCCCCCCGCCAAAAAAAATAAAGATAGAAACACATATTGGCAAAGATAAATATTGACTTAGTTTTGGTGAAAGGATGGAAAAAGATTTTTCAAGCATATAGATCCTGAGAACAGGCAAGATTACTATACTCACATCTAATGAAACAGACTTCAAACCCAAATTAGAAGAGACAAAGAAGGTCACTTCATATTAACAAAGGGTTGAGGAGATAATAATCGTTAACATATATGCACCAAACATTGGTGCACCTAGTTTCATTAAGTAAATACCACTGAACTTATAAACACAGATCGGCCCCAACACAGTAATAGTAGGAGACTTGATTACTCCACTGTCACCAATAGATTAAAAAAAACTTCAGTGTTAAATACTATAGACCAAATGGACTTAACAGACATCTACAGAATATTTCATCCAGTGGCTGCACAACACACATTCTTTTTATCAGCCCTTGGATTTTTTTTCCCAAAAATTTAGATCATGTTTTAGGACATAATGTGAATCTTTAAAAAGTCTAGATTGCTGCTATCGCAAGCTATCTAATGGGTGCAGTGTGATCTCCTACCATTTTGGTTTTCATTGCAGGAAGACATAAAGCTAGGAGCATGGCCTTCTCTATGGCAGAAGTCATTGTCATAGTAATGACATCATCACTTCCAGGGCAGTGTTTCTATGCTTAAAGATCCATAATCAGTTTTACTCATTGTGTTCACTTCCATTGGCTTAGAGGTACACCTGGAAAAAAATTAGTGAATATTTTAGAATGGCAAGTATTGAAAGGTAATGGTTTTCTTTGTGCTGGCTTATTATGATTATACCAAGAAGACTGGTGATAAGTTTCTTGTTTCAAATATTTTATGTTTTAAAAAATTATTTTCAAAAAGAAAAACAAAAGCTACTCTGGAGGCAGAGATCTGGAGGACTGAAGTTTGATGTTGACCCAGACAAATAGTTTGCAAAACCCTATCTCAAAAAAAAACCATCACATAAATGGGCTGGCAGAGTGCTTCAAGCAGTAAGAGCACCTGCCTTGTAAGCATGAGGACCTCAGTTCAAACCCTAGTGCTGCCAAAAATAAAAAAATAATAATTAAAAGTAAATAAATAAAAAGGTCAACCTCTAACTACAATTAGCCCTTAGTGTAGAAGCCAGATGCGTGGCAGGTTTGTTGTGGGAGATGTATGTGAGAGTTTGGTTAGAAAGTCAACATCAGTCAGGAGAAATCTGTGAAAATAACTTTGGAGCAGTTTTCTTTTTCACCTATTTTCTTTTATTCCCCCAATTCCAAAGAAGCTATTTGAATATAAGTAGAACTTCATTTAGATTTGTCTTTAATTTCTGACTCACAGGAAGTCTCACTGGAATTGGAAGCGGCAGTGCAAGAGAAAGAAGAGATGAAGAGTAGAGTTCACAACTATATAACGGAGGTGTCTCGGTGGGAGAGCTTGATGGCCACTAAGGTGAAGCTATTGCTTACGTTGCTTTAAGACTTCCTCGTGTTGATTCTGTCTCCATTAGTAGATATTGAACATTGGGAGTAGAGCTCTTGTTTGCTAACTTCATATGTACTCATAGATCTTAACATAATGCCTGCACAGATAGCTGATGCTTCCTGAACTAGAACAGTATTTCCTATGTTTGCATGTGTTTATGACATGGATGCTCCATTGAGAGACAGTCACTAATTTAGAAATAATTTAATTATGCTTACACCAGGAAAAAGAAAATCAAGACTTGTTAGATAAATTTCAGATGCTTCATAACCGTGCTGAAGACTGGGAGGTCAAAGCCCATCAGGCTGAAGGAGAAAGTAGCTCAGTTCGACTGGAACTTCTTTCTATTGACACAGAAAGGAGACATCTTCGAGAAAGAGTGGAGCTCTTAGAAAAAGAAATTCAGGAGGTAACACATTCATTTGTCTAGTAAAAGTATTACGTAGTAAAACAGAAAACATCATAGATTTCAATAAATTTATTGAAATAAGGTTGTAAGCATTAGTTAAGTTCAGGTTTATCATTTTGAGTAACATCAGATTTGCCATTTTAACCATTTCTAAATGTATCCAATAGTTTTCATCGTCCCCAATTGAAACTCTATACCTTAAACACCAGCTCCCTGGCAACCACCATTCTCCTGTCTGTCTGTGTGAATTTGGCTCCTCTGTATTCCTCATATAAATGGCATCATACAATATTTTTCCTTTTTTTTGTGGTACTGGCTTTTGAACTCAGGTCCCATGCTTGCTAGGCAGGCACTTTACCACTTGAGCCATGCCCCCTACCATACTTGTCCTTTCGTGACTGGCTTTTTTCACTTAGCCTTAAGGTTCACTTTACCTCAAGATTCATCCATGTTGTAGCATGTTTCATTCCTTTAAAGCTGAATAATATTGTTATAAGCATGCACTGCATTTTGCTTACTCATTCATCTTCTGGTGAACGTTGGCTATTTAGGATAATGTTGCTATGAGCATAGGTATTCAGATATCTATCTCTTCTACTCCCTTCTTTCCTTCCTGTCCCAATGGGAGTGACGCAATCTGTCATTGTGGTCCTAATTTTCATTTTCATGATGATTAGTAATGTTAAATGTATGCTCATGTGCTTACCCATCTAAATCAGGTTTTTGTTGAGTTGCAGGAGTTCTTTACATATTGTAGAGATAATGCATTATTAAATATGTGATTTGCAAATTATCTCCTATTTCATGGGTTTTCTTTTCACTCTGTTGATAATTTTTAAATGGCATGCAATTTTATTTATTTACATAGTACATTATGATAAATTGATACACATATACAATGTGTAATGATCAAATTAGGATAATTAGTATGTCCATTTTCTCAAATATTATCCTTTCTGTGTGTTGGGAACCTTCAAATTCTTCTCCCATTATTTTGAAATATATGTTGAATTGCTATGGACTACTTGTCCCACTGTGGTATAGAACATAACTAATTCTTCCTCTCTAGTAGTATTTTGGCATCCATTATCCAATCTCTTTTATCCCCTCTTCCATTACCCTTCATAGTCTCTAGTAACCACTTCCTATTCTCTAATTCTATGTATCAACATTTTTAGCTTCTATAAATGAGTAAGAATATGCAGTGTTTGTCTTTCTGTGCCTGACTTCACTTATTATAATGTCCTCTTGTTCCATGTTGCTGCAAATAACAGAATGTCGTCTATTTTATGGCTGAATAACATTCCATTGTGTGTATATACACCACATTTTTTAATCCATTCATCCACCAGTGGAACACCTCAGTTAACTTGTTATCTTGGCTTTTATGGATAGTGCTGTAATAAACATGGTGTGCAGGTATCTCTTTGATAAAATGATTTAATTTCCCTTAGATATACCCAATAGTGGATTGCTGGATCATATGGGATGTTTTTCTTTTTGGCAGTACTGAGGACTGAACTCAGGACCTGTGCTTGCTAGGTAGATTCTCTGTTACCTGAGCCACACCCATAGTCCCAATATAACTTGTTTGCATGTAGACTTAAATAAGCTTTCACAGTAAAATTTTGAGTTCAGTTAAAATGTAGAAATCCTGTGTTAGATTTATATCAAATAGTTTCCTATTAGTTTTGTTGATAAAATTTTGTACTCTTCATGTTTCAGGACAAAATGTTGACTTTCTATAATGAATAGAATTATGGTCTCTAAAAAAGATATATTTAGGCCCTTAAACCTTAGACCCTTATTTGGAGATAGTGTTTTCTTTTCAGATACAATCAGGTTAAAATGAGATCATGCTAGACTAGGGTAAATCTTACCAAAGACTAATGTCCTTACAAGGCGAAGTATATTGGACACAGAAAACACAGGGAAGAAAATAGGAAGACAGAGGCAGAAACTGGAGTAATAACATCTATAAGTTAAGAAACCCAGGATTGCCAGTAACCATCAGAACCTAGGAGATACACATGGAACCGATTCGGTCTCAGAATCTCCAGAGGGAACCAACCCTGCCAACACCTGAGATTTGGACTTAAAGGCTCTGGAATTGTGTGGAATAAATTTTTATTGTTCTTAAGCCACTAACTTTGTGGCAGTTTGTTTTACCAGCTCCTATAAAACTAATACAGATTTTGGTACCACAAAGTAGGTTGCTGCTGTAACAGACACCTCAAAATTTGAGAGTGGAACTGAGTATAGAGATAGGGAGAGTTTTGAGGTTCTTAATATAAAAAGTCTGGATTGTCTTGAAGAGATAGTTGGTATTAAAAGAAACAAAATAGGGACTTAGGGCTGGCAGAGTGGCTTAAGTGTTAGAGTGCCTGCATAGCAAGCATGAGGCCCTGAATTCAAACTCCAGTACTGCCGAAAAAGAAAAGAAGAAAAAAAAGGTGAGTGTGGTGAGGGCTCAGGAAGGAGAGAAAACTTCTGTCATTTATAGAACACATACATTGTCATAAATAGAATTTGAGACCTAGCCTTCCAAATAGGTCTTAAATGGAATTGAGGAACATATTACTGGGTTTTGGAGAAAAGGTTGTCCTTGTTATAAAGTGGCAAAGAACTGGGCAAAATTTTGGTCTTCTGTTGGGAACAAACTAAATCATACAAGAAATGAACTTAGGCATTTAGCTGAGGAGATTTTTAAGGAAAGTGTAGGAGGGGAGACCTAGTTTGTCCTTGCTGCTTACAGTAAAATATGAGGTGAAGGGAAAGATTGAGGAAGGAACTGCTAAGAAAAAGTGGAGCCAGGATTTGATGATTTGGGGAATTTTTTAGCCTGTAAAGGTAGTATTCTTTGGAGACAGGCTAAGAGTATGGCTAGCCAACTTTAGGATGGAGATTAGGTATATGACTTACAGATCCAATCATTCATCTCAGCAGAAACATTGCTAGCTTTGACTGACATGGACGAAAATGGAATAAAAGGAAGAGAGGCTGCTGGACTTCTGAAATCTTACTAGCAGAAAATAGCCAGTATCGTTACTTGATTTCAAACATGTGCTCATTTTTTAAGAAAAGGGAAGAATGGAGCTAGCAGAGTGGCTCAGATGGTACCATCTGAGCCTAGCAATGAGTGCCTGCCTAGCAATCATGAGGCCCTGAGTTCAAACCCCAGTATGGCCAAAACTAAATAAATAAACTATTATCTTTGCTAGTGGCATGACTCAAATAATACAACACCTGCCTAGCAAGTGTGAAGCCCTGAGTTCAAACCCCAGTCCCCCGCCCCCCCGAAAAAAAAAGCTTCTGAGAAGCTATTCCTTAATTTTGTCGTTTGTCGTTGTTCATAATCTTATGTGGTATATGAAATTGGCTTTTATCTATTTAATTTGTTTTGGAGAATTTTATTTAATGTATTAATATTGGAAAATTCAAATATTTACTTTTCTATAGCTGTTTATGTTTATTAAATTTTCATAGCATATATTAGACTTCTAATATTGATTGATTTCAGTAAGGTCTATTAAAATAAATTCAGTTTACAAGTGTTGAATTCTTCCCAAAACCTAGAAGTACAGTTTATATTAGTTTGTGAGTATCCCCCTCATTGTTCAAATTGTGAGAAAATTAAAATGTGGATTCTTTTAGGAAAAAATGTTTATCAGTATTTCAAATTTTCCTCTTTACTTCAAAGTCATTAAAATCTTAGATACTTGTTTATATTACTATTACTATTATTAATTATTATTATTATTGTTATTGGCTGTACTGGGCTTTGAATTCAAGGCCTCACACTTGCTAGGCACCACTTAAGCCACATCCCCAGTCCTTTTGTGCTTTTTTTTTTCAGGTAGGGTCTCATTTTTTGCCCAGGATTGACCTTGGACTACAGTCTTTCTACCTATGTCTCCCAACTAGGTGGGATTATGGGTATACACTACCAACCTGAGTTTGGTGGTTGCTATGGGGGTCTTAAAACATTTTTTGTCTGACATGACCTCAAATCACAGTCTTACCAGTCTCTGCCTTCTGAGTATCTGGGAGTTCAGGCATGTGCCACCATGCTTGGCCCTTAAAATTGCATATTATTATTTAAAGTAAATTAAACTTAAATATGATTTCAGTTATTTCATTTTAAAATGAATCCCCAGTTTTGGTGCCCATGTATATTTATGTCACTGAGAGAAGAGCTGAGGTGGAGAATTCTGTTGTCCACTTGGCCCTTTTCCCCCTTCTTCTTAAAGTTTTTTTTTTGGCTGTACTGGAGTTTGTCCTCAGGTCTGTGCACTTGATAGGCAGGTGTTCTTCCACTTGAACCATGCCTCCAGCCCAGCCTGGACTGTGATCTCCCATGTACACTTGCTGCAGCAGCTAGGCTGGCAGGCGTGTGCCGCCACGCCCAGCTTGAACCCGTTTTTAAATTTAGAATTTCAACCGAAATATTGGGAAATGATGTGTGTATGTTACTTTTCAATAAAAAAAAAGACATTTTAACAAAAGGAATTTCTAAAAGAAAAATTAATATAACTTCGAAAATCCTTATATCCACAATACCCTGACACAGTAATTTTCATCTTTGTGTATATTCCAAAAATATACGTGAGGTACTTAGATACCATGATTAATAATCATATAGCACCCATTTTGTGCATTAAATAGGCCGTCTTTAAATAGCAGGCTACTTCCTGAGAATGTCTAAAGATATGCAAAAATTGATTAATGGTTTTCTAAAGTGAAGTTGTGACTGCACAGAATGAAGCCCTTAAAATTACTGGGTTACTTTGATTTTTTACCAAAAATATTTTGTTTTCTTTTTCAGCACATAAATGCACATCATGCATATGAATCTCAAATCTCATCGATGGCAAAAGCCATGTCTAGATTAGAGGAAGAGCTGAGACGTAACGAAAATGAGAAAGCAGCAGCATTAAATGATTTGTCGTCTCTTAGGGAACTTTGCATTAAGCTTGATTCAGGCAAAGATGTTATGACCCAACAATTGAATTCCAAAAACCTTGAGTTAGAGAGGGTAAGAGAAATTGCCTTGCCTCGTTGTTTTATTGAGCTTTTCTCTGATTGTTCTACTTTACCATTCACCACCCAGTTATTTGTTCCCTCAAAGTACTACTTTTGGCTACAGGATTTCAACAAGTAAATTTGACTACTGATTCTCTGCCAAAATTTTTCTGTCAAACGTGATAACATTTGGTACTGTCTGTTTTGGAATAGATGGGTATTTAAAGATTGGGCATTTTATAGTTACAGATTAGGAGTATATCCCATAATTCTTTCTCCATTTAAAAATAAAATTTGAATGAAAGATTGAATAGTTCAGTATTTCCTAGTAGAATATTATTCCTGTTAAAAATCTCAAACATTTAAATCTTACTTAATCAAATATGTTTACTTCACTAGAACTTCCTGTTTCCAAACAGAGGCATTACTTTAAACAAGCTAGTATTCACTTTATACATGGGTGATTTCAATTTTCACTCTTCCAGTATGTGTTTCAGTACTGTCGTCAGACAGTAAGTATGTGGTAGACCAGAGAGCCCCTCTGCTGATAGGGTTGCTGCATTTTAGGATTTTATGTTGATGCCCCTCTCTTGACAAGGTAACATGAATGAAAACTATTTGAGGGTTAGGGTATGCCTTATAGTCAAATAAGCCCTTAGTAAAAGGAGCAAAGATTATTTAAAAAATGAAATGATTTGAAACCTTTAACCAATACCACAAATGAAGCAACTGATGAATAGCTCTGCTATATTGTGAGATAAATAATTTTTCAGAGTAAGTCTAAAATTGTTCTGAATTAATCTTTGTTTTTCCTGTAGACTGTGGTAGAATTAGAAAATGTAAAATCAGAATCAGAGCTGCTAAAAAAACAGCTGGCAAGTGAGAGATATGCAATCAAAAACCTTGAAACATTGTTGGCTACAAATAGAGATAAAGAATTTCATTCTCATTTAACCTCCCACGAGAAGGATACGGAAATCCAGCTACTTAAGGAGAAGTTAACCCTTTCAGAAAGCAAATTGTAAGTGTTATAAATCAGCCTGTGCAAGGAAAATAACTTGTTGAAAGTAGTTTTTCAAATTTTGGTGAGGGGGAGAGGTGTGGGAGTGTGAACGGTGATACAAAACCAGAACATCTGACTTACATGTCTACAGCTTTTGAACATTCGGAGGAACAGCCCAGGAAAGACAGACGTGTGGAGCATGGGTGCACATCTTCACACCAGAGGTGGTGCTGCGGGAGTGAGCATGCGAAAAGAACGTTAGGAATGAACCAGGGAGTCAGGGAAGAAAAACTTACCTGTGTCTGTGCTGTAGATTAGAGAAAAGACTGACAGAAAAAGCTGAGATTTGATCCTTATGATGTATTGATTACCTTTGAAGAGATTGATGATGGTGTCATTTTAGAGTGAAGAGGTTTGGGCACCTATATGGAAGAAGGGACGAAACGCAGAGTAGATAGTACAAGTGGAGGAATGAACTTTTAATGAGTATGATGGTACCCATCTGTAATCCCAGCAAGTCAGGAGGCGAAGGCAGAAGGATAAAGAATTCAAGACCTGCTTGGACAAAGTTAGTGACAACTTATCTCAAAAACAAAATATAAACAAAAGAACTGGGGGCCTGGCTGAAGTGGTACAGTACTTGACTAGCATGGTTAAGGTCCTGGGTTCAATCCCTAGTGCTGCATACATAAATACATAGATAAAAGGAGTGAAAAACGATTCTCTTTCTGAGGTGTGAGTCAAGGAGGAGCAAATGAAGGTATTTTACCTGTTGGTGATATAGTTCATGTGTTCAGATTTGTACCCTAGCCCTGCTTCAGTGCCTGGCACATGCCACAAGCTCGTCAATAATAAGTGTAAGGCAGATAATTAATAGAGACTTCATGGTAGCTCTCCCAGTCTTGAGCTTTTCCTTTTTTATCCTTAAGCATCGCCTCCATTTGTACTTGCACTTGATTATATAAAATAGAACACTTGTTATTTATTTCCATGCTTTTTGAATTTGTTTTTAAGAACCAGTCAAAGCCGGGAAAACACCATGCTTCGAGCTAAAGTGGCACAATTACAAACAGATAATGATACTCTGAAAAGGCAGGTTTCAACTGAAAAATATGAACGGTAAGAAAACTGGTTTTAGCATTGAACAGTATTTTTATATATTCTCTATCCTATTCTGAAACTCTTTTTTAACCATAGTCTATAAAATAAGTTTCTTTGGTAATTCTTCTTAAAAAGGCAACAAATATTGTGAAAGATAATATCCTTACAGTAAATAAAATAGCAAGTGTTCCTGTAGCATTCTGCAGGGTAAACTCAACAACACTCCCTGCAAGAGCCCCACAAAATATGGTCCAAGTTAGAAACGCCAAATATGTCATCATAAAGGTAATTATGATGGTAATCATCATAAAAGTGATGAACAAAAGTGTGCTGGGCACTGTGCATGTGTCTGATTAATCCTACTAATAGTCTGTCATGCATATAGCATAAGAAACTGAAGTTGCAACTAAAACCCAGGCATATCTGCCTAATTCTAAAGCCCGTGCTCCTAACCTCTGCAATATATTCCCTGTACCTTACTCATTTTCATACTCCTATTTTGACTCATTTGCTTTATGTTGAAAAATTTCATCACCAAATATGAAATATGAGGCCTGTTAAAATCAAGGCCAAGCTGGGCTCTGGTGGCTCACGCTGTACTCCAAGGTATTCAGGAGGCAGGGATCAGGAAGATTGCCATTCAAAGCCAGCCCAGGCAAATAGTTCACAAGACCCTATCTTGAAAAAACCCATCACAAAAAATGGTGGAGTGGCTCAAGGTGAAGCCCTCAAAGCCCCAGTGCTGCAAAATATAAATAAATAAATACAAAATAAATCAAGGGCAGGCATGGTGGTACATGCCTATAATTCCAGGTATATAAGAGGGCACAAGATTAGCTGTACATATATAATGATTTGTGTTTCCCAATGATAAAACTTCAGTTCTCTGCTCTTCAGGGATCTTGAATGAAGTTCTCTGTAACGAAGGGGTTTGGACCTCTTTACCCTCAGTTCCTCCCCGTTTCCTTATCCTGCCCTCAGAGAATCTTGAACCACCTGTCTTCCCTGTTCCTTACCACACAGCTTAGTTACGCAATCTCACTGGGGAGGAGGTAGCCAAAACCATCTCAGTTGTCGTAGTGGTCCATGGTCCTCCAAAGAGCCGCTCTACATAGACAGTATATCTGTGTATTAAAAACTCATGGGGTGGTGGGATAGTCTGGGGAGAAACAAATCTCATAAAAGGTCCTTTGAGAGAGTATTAATAAAAAAGCTTGAGAAACACTGACCTAGGCTAAAGTTCTAGACACTGAAGAACTCAAGGCAGGTAAGGTCTAGGCCAGAGACTGTTAGCCCACAAAGGAGATGGTGGAATGGTTACTGTTTTTGGTGGTGGTGGACCCTGACACAGGGAAGGAAAGTGTGACAGAAAATGGACTATCTTCATTTCTGACATTTGGGAGATTTGAGGCAGGGAGAAGGAAAAGGGCTAGATTTAGGTGTGGTAAGAAATGGGAAAGAAAGGTGCAGAAAAGGAAAGTTTTTGTTCTCAGAGAGACAAACATAGTCCTGGGACTCAAATAAGAAATTAGTGAAGTACAAACAATATGTGATTACTCCCCGTGTGGACAGAAATTTAAATGACTGTTCTTGAATTAATGGGAAGAAGGCCAGTGTTGTTATATACCTAAACAGAGGAGGTGGATGGCCATGTAAGGGTAGTCTGAGAGGCTGGAACTGAATATAATGTTCCAATCACTGTAAGGTAAAAAGAGCTTACTATTATGGGGTGTGTCTCTTCACAGTAGTCCAAATGTTAATGTTTCCATTATAAGCTAGGCAATAACATGCTAGCAAGGTACTCAAATGAGTAACTGACTCAGGTGATCCATTATACTGAGGATGGAAGGCATGTAGATAGACATTTTAATATAGAATGTGTGGGCATGGTAACACATGGCTGGAATTGTAGCACTCAGGAGGCAGGAGCAGGAAAATTGCAAGTTCTGGGTCAGCCTGGTCTAGCATAGCAAGACCCTGCCTTAAAATGGTGATGGTGTCATCAGCAACACCACCAACAACAGGTGTTGGCGAGGATGCGGGGAAAAAGGAACCCTCTTACACTGTTGGTGGGAATGTAGACTAGTACAACCACTCTGGAAAAAAATTTGGAGGCTACTTAAAAAGCTGGACATCGATCTACCATTTGATCCAGCAATACCACTCTTGGGGATATACCCAAAAGACTGTTACTCCAGAGGCACCTGCACATCCATGTTTATTGCGGCACTATTCACAATAGCCAAGTTATGGAAACAGCCAAGTTGTCCCACCACTGATGAATGGATTAAGAAAATGTGGTATCTATACACAGTGGAATTTTATGGAGCCATGAAGAAGAACAAAATGTTATCATTCGCGGGTAAATGGATGGAATTGGAGAACATCATTCTGAGTGAGGTTAGCCTGGCTCAAAAAACCAAAAATCGTATGTTCTCCCTCATATGTGGACATTAGATCAAGGGCAAACACAACAAGGGGATTGGACTATGAGCACATGATAAAAGCGAGAGCACACAAGGGAGGGGTGAGGATAGGTAAGACACCTAAAAAACTAGCTAGCATTTGTTGCCCTTAACGCAGAGAAACTAAAGCAGATACCTTAAAGCAACTGAGGCCAATAGGAAAAGGGAACCAGGTACTAGAGAAAAGGTTAGATCAAAAAGAATTAACCTAGAAGGTAACACCCACGCACAGGAAATCAATGTGAGTCAGTGCCCTGTATAGCTATCCTTATCTCAACCAGCAAAACCCTTGTTCCTTCCTATTATTGCTTATACTCTCTCTACAACAAAATTAGAAATAAGGGCAAAATAGTTTCTGCTGGGTATTGAGGTGGGGGGGAGAGGGAGGGGGCGGAGTGGGTGGTAAGGGAGGGGGTGGGGGCAGTGGGGAGAAATGAACCAATCCTTGTATGCACATATGAATAATAAAAGAAAAATGAAAAAAAAAATGGTGATGGTGGTAGTAGTGGTGGTGATAATGGTGATGGTGATGATGGTGGTGGTGTGTGACTGCAAGGTAGAGGTGATTGTAGGATTTTATGTACACACCGAAGGATGGAGCCTACCTTAGCCTGGAAGCAGTAAGAAAAGGTTAGTTTAGGGTGTGTTGGGTACCGGTGGGATAAGCAACAGCCATGTGTGGGTCCAGGCACAGGACAGAACTTAAGCCATGAACTCAGAAGAGTCTTTGGCACAAGGAAGCATAGAAGAGAGTGCAAACCTAGTCCTGAAAGCACTGCTCTGGGAAGTATGTGCAGAATAATGGGACCTTGTGAAAGGATTAAGCAGTGATCATGTAGGGAAGGAGAACCAGGAGATGGGAGGGTCAGGAAAGGCAAGAGTACTTAACAGTGTCACATTCCACAGAAGGTTCAGGTGAGATAAGGAACACACAACAGGTTTATAAATAAGATATAAAGAAGAAAATTAAAAGAAGTTCCCCTTTCACAGTCACTACCAACATTTTTAGTTTAACATTCTAGTTGTGTATTTGTGTCTGTCTGAATGCACACTTGATATGCTTTATTTTCACTAAATGTTTTCCGAGCTGGTTTTTAAAATATTATTTTAATGACGCTCTCCTATTCCAATATAGTTATAGCATAACTGCCTGGACCAGTCTCCCATAAGTGCACTTTCTTTTCATTGAAATATTTACTTATGACTTAAGAATCCTACAAAGACATGAGCCTGAAATTTAGTAAAAGTGCTAGGGCTGGGCCAGAGTGTGGTAGGCACTTTTACCCCCAGCTACTTGAGAGACTGAGGCAGGAGGATCACTTGTGCCCATGAGTTCAAGACCAACCTGGGCAACACAGCCTGATCCCATCTCAAAAAAAAAAAATTAAAATTAAAGAAATTTAGTAATACTGATCAACTACTTTAGTAGACGTTACTTAATTGATTAATAATACCATTAGTCATATTCTGCTTTTTAGTTTTCCATGGTGCCTGCATATAATGTCTTTTACTTGATCTTTACCAACAGAGAACGAGCAATCCAAGAGATACGTCGACATGGCCTTCCTGCACCACCCCTTAGTTCTACTCTGAGATCTCCTTTACAGTCTCCTGAACATGTAAATGTATAGTTACCAGAAAGGTGTGTACGTGATACCAACAGGCAAAACGAATCCACAGTTACAAAAATTCAGAAAGTAGTTTTCTGTGTCAGGAGAAGGAGGGAGAAGGAGAGAGGGAGAGGGAGGAAGGGAGAAAGGTTCTGACACCTTTTCTTCAACAGTACGTTCATGAGCTCATCCACACTGTTGCATGCACTTGTACAGTCTTGTTGCTGCATAACGGAATACCCTTATACCCTAAACGCAGTGACAGTGCGTTTAGTTACTGCCCTGTTGACAGGCACTTACTAGTTGCCAGTGTGGGTTATTACACAGAGTGCTCTGAGTATACATTGAGAACTGAAATTGCTGGGTCACTGAATGTGCATGTGCTCAAGCTTTAGTAGATGAAGCAAAACTCTTTTCCAAAGTAGTTGTAAAGAGTTAAGATACATTTGACTGAGGAAGGGTCAAAGGATGTGCTAATTCGTTGGAGATGGGAAAGAAGCATTAGTCAGATCTATTAGTTTGACAGATAGTAACTGAAAAATGCAGACTCACTGACAGAAATAGTTGAGTCAGACTTTTATAAGTCAGTGCATTTCTTTGCGTCCTTTAATAGGAGTGCTGTAGACGGAAGATAATTCACATTTCCTCCATGACTCAGAACCTCATTGTATGCATGCTGTACATGCTGTGCTTGAGCATACTAAGCCTTGATGTTTGCAGGGCCTCCGTTTATGTGCTTCCTCATTGCTGGCTTTTGCCTTGTGTTTGTTGGATCAAAACATTTATCTTCCTCTTTTACTTTGAGGACCCACTTCTCAGTGCTTACTGCAGCTACTGTGTCCCCACAACTCCTGAGTTGCCATGTTACTTTGGTGGTGGTTCACTTTCTTATACAGCTGAATAGTAGTGTGACAAACATTTTCTCATACTTGATTCACAGGTGCAGTTTAGATCAGAGGTTGGACAACTAGAGCCTGTGGGCCTTTTTGTAATTTAAGCTGTATTGGAGTATAGCCACAGTTTACATGTGATCTAAGATTGTTTTCCACAAATAGTGGGGTAGTTGTGACAAACCTAGGGGCCTGCAAATCTACCTCCTGGCCCTTCACAACATGTAGCCTCTGGAAAACTCAACTGCTCCCATGAGAAATTAAGAGTGAGAAGCAAATAATTCCTTGGTTTTAGGAAAATAAGCTTAACTCCTGAAAAATGTCTGGGGGAGCTTTAGGGGTCCCCAGAGTATACTTAAGAACCACTGGTACAAAATTGGAGATGTAGCACAATGGTAGAGCTCTTGCCTAGCATGCCCAAGGCCCTGGATTCCAACCCTAGCACTGCAAATAAATCAACAAACCAACACATATATACATGTATTTTATATCTATTTATCTGTAAATGTTTATAGATTTATATATAAAAGAACTATTGATATCAAACATGGTGGATTCCTGCAATTTCTAAGGCTATGATGAATTAGAAAATGTTTTTTAATTGCAAAAAATACACACATACACACACATATCACATAAACTTTTCATCTTAATTGCTTTTTAAATGGACAACTCAGTGGCGTTATTACCTTCACAGTGTTGTGCAGCTGTCACTACTATTACCTCACACAAAAATTTCATGCACACTGAACAGTAACTCTTCACTCTGTGTCTCACCTCCCCACAGCTAGGTATCTTTAGCCTACTTCTCTGTCTCTGTGACTTTGCCAAGTCTAGATTTTCATGTAAGTGAAATCATACATTTGTCTTTTCTTGCTTGGCTTATTTTGCTTAAAATACTGTTTTCAAAATCCATCCTTGTTGTAGAATGTTCCACATTTAAAAAAAATCTTTTTTCATCAGTTGAGGATACTTAGGTTGTGTCCTCCTTAATGGCAACTGTAAGTAATGCTGCTGTGAACACTGGGGTACAAGTATGTGTTTTTGTCGTCCCTGTTTTCACACCTTCCGGTGTATGTCTAGGTAGGCAGAGAGTCACTGGGTCATGTGTTAACTGTTCAACTTTTTGCAATTGCCAAACTGTTTTCCCTGTGGCTGCACTGTGTTCCCATCAGTACTGTACAAGGGTTCCAGTTCTCCGTACCAACACTTATTATTTTCCATTTTTAAAACTGTAAACATCCTAATACATGTGGATTAGAAAATTCTTTACAACCATTAACAAATTCACAATTTTAAATTTTGTAACAATGAATTTGCAAAACATCCTAATGTTATTGTTAACTAGTAATCTATTTCTATTTCAGTTTTTAAATAGTGTCACTAAATTAGTTTTAAAAGATTTCCCTAATAAGCACTCAGAAATGAACTGCTCACCATGAAATAGTTTCTCAGATTAGTGTCTCTCTAATACTTAAAATATATGTACCCCAGGTGCTCACACCTATAATTCTAGCTATTCTGAAGGGAGAGATTGGGAGGATCACAGTTTGCAGCCAACCAGAGCAAAAAAGTTGGTGCAAACCCCCCCTCCCCCATCTCAACAGATAAGCTGTGTTTAGTGGTACATACCTGTAGGCCCAGTTACTTGGGGGGCATAGGTGGGAGGATCATGGTCTAAGGCTGGCTCCGGGCAAAAGCATGACACCCTATCTAAAAATAAAGCAAAAGGGCCATGTGTGTGTGTGTACATACATATATATATCCTAATTTGTGTATATATATGTATCCTAAGTTTTGTTCATATTTTTTTGCTGTTGTATCTAATACATGAGACTTGAAATAGAAACACCCTGTGTTCCTGTGTTTTTCCTGCTATCTCACACCCTCAGCACAACACTATGATACCACATTCTCTATCATACACCAACTAGGTGTCCTATAGTTTAGTTCCATTCTTAGAAGCTATTTCCCTGGAGATAGGTCACACAGGTAAGGGGCCCAGCCCCACAGGGCCCTATCTTCTATTTCAGATGCCAGCTGTAAGGTCTAGGTTGTGACTTGTGCTTTTGACTTACCTGCTGTAAGAACAGGTTCCCACAAAACCCACCCCAGGTTTGATTCATTTGCTAGGAGCTCACAGAACTCTAGGAAATACTTTACTATGTTTTACCCATTTATTACACAGAGTACGGATAAACAGCCAGATGGAAGGGCAAATTTGGGGGAGGATGCACAGTTTCCATGCCCTCTGCAGGTGCAACTCCAAGCACCTCCAAATGCTCGGCTGTCTGGAAGCTTCCCAAACCCAGTTCCTTTGGGGTTTTATGGAGGTTTTATTACGTAGGTGCAACTGACTAAATCATTGGTCATTGGTGATCAACTCAGACTATTAACCTTCTTCCCACCACTGCTCATGGCTTGGTGTTTCTGGGGAGCAGAACCCATGCTGAAACCCCTCGTCATCTCATTAGCATGCAGAGACACTCTTACCATTAGGAACTTGTGCCAGGAACCAGGGGCAGAGATCAAATATGTATTTCCTCTTATATCATGAGATCACACATACTTCCTGAGAAAACATGAATAAGTATGCCAAAGTCATGTTTTTATTTTAAAATATAGGATAGTACTTCTTTAAGAGCTAGAACGGTGCTTTTTAACTATAACTGGATATAAGGGCATAAGGTTTTATTAGAGACTATCATTTAAAACATTGAATTTTAGTTTTTTATGAGTATACTGAGTAACCTTGCTGAGTAACTTATTTTTTTCTTAACCCATCTTTCCCCTCCCCAGTTTTCAGAATGATGGCTTTCAGTGAGTTCCCGTGTGAGTCGTTAAAAGAACACATCATTAATGAAATAGTTGAAGTACTTGTGCCTGCAAATCATGAACAATGACACAAATTCTACCTCTGTCAACTTTTATTGAAATCAGTGAATATTTATGTAAAAAAAAGTTCAGTTTAAAAGAACTCCATGTGTATATTTTCATATATATGACAGAACAAAATATATATTAATACTGCTTAACTGATGCAATGTCGATATTTTATTATTCCTGACCTAAATTATTCCTTAAAATGTGTTTATACTGTGAATTAATATAATGTTTTGTACATTCTACCTTAATAATCTGTTTCTTAATGATCCACGATGTCTGACTGTTGCTAAAGTGTTTGGGTGCCATGCCTGCATTATAACGCATGTCTCTGCTGGGTTATAACCCATAACAGCTCTGCTGCTGTGCTGCCATGCCTCTTCCTTCCAGATGCAAAATTAGTCATATGCTTGCTGCCTGTCATCAAGGGGTATTCAAGACTGGCCTAATATCGGAAGTCTTGGTAAAAACAGTTATTACTAAGAGTAATTAATCATTGCAAACTAAAAAATGTGATAGGAAAGACATTTATATATTAAATACAATGTTATTTTATCTGTTGCATGGGCTCTTCACGTAGTACACATTCTTTTAAAACCAAGCTAAAAGCTATATTCAGTTTCCTTACAGTAGAACAGAAATTTAAGACATTTTTTAATAAATGAAATTCCTCAGTGTCTTAAATTTCAGAATATGAAAGCATGGGGCAAATATGGGAAGACATTTTGTTAAAATTGTAGTATACATTCAGTCATACCTAATTTTTGCTTCTAATCCTGTATGTTGTATTTTAGCAGTCTTTCAGAGCAGTCTGTGAACACTGGCCCATGACATATAATTGAAAACAGCTTTTTGCAATTTATTTTCAAGGTTGTAATTTTAAAGAATTTAGGTGTATACGTGTATTAATAAAAGAACAGAAGTATAAAGTAGAATGTCAGATACAAAAATTAATCGTGCTTAGCCACACATATTTAAAGAACATCCTGTTGTAATAGATTTTATTATTCAAAAGAACTTAAAAAGGATCATGGGAAAGTGACAGGTCAGTTGCTTGTGACACATTTTCCTTCTTGTGTTTTGAGAAGTGGAGTTTGTGTGTATGAGCACTTGAGGAGGGCAGTGCTCTTTCCCTACAACTAGGTGCTGTGCAGTAACTCCTGGTGTTGGGTGGAGGGTGGCTTACTTTCCCACCATCTTTGTCATTTTATGTATCCCATCTCCTTTCAGTGTATTCGCATATGGTAGCAAAGTACAAAAGAAATGGGACTATTTGCAATGTCATATGGAAAATCTTGTAATGAATATGTATAAATAAAGTAAAAATTATTTGTCCCCACCTTTCCCCCAAAGCAAGAGCAAGACATATTTTGTTGACATTTCACTTTTAATATTTCCTGTAATTAAAAAATGTATAACTTGCCATAATTGTTAGTTTCATAACCATGATACCATAATTTTTTTTAAAAAAACTAGTTTTCTCTTAAAATACTGAATGTTCAGATCTTTCATGGATGTTTTAAATAATTTTAAATTATGGAGATTGATATAGATTTACCAATAAATGTACCAATTTATTTTCTCTCATGAATATCTTACAATTTCTAAAATAAGAGTTTTTATTTTTTTTAATTTTTTAATTTTTTTTTTCCTTTTATTATTCATATGTGCATACAGGGCTTGGTTCATTTCTCCCCCCTGCCCCCACCCCCTCCCTTACCACCCACTCCTCCTCCTCCCTTGGTTCATTTCTCCCCCCTGCCCCCACCCCCTCCCTTACCACCCACTCCTCCTCCTCCCTCTCCCCCCCCCCAATACCCAGCAGAAACTATTTTGCCCTTATTTCTAATTTTGTTGTAGAGAGAGTATAAGCAATAATAGGAAGGAACAAGGGTTTTTGCTGGTTGAGATAAGGATAGCTATACAGGGAGTTGACTCACATTGATTTCCTGTGCGTGGGTGTTACCTTCTAGCTTAATTCTTTTTGATCTAGCCTTTTCTGTAGTTCCTGTTCCCCTTTTCCTATTGGCCTCAGTTGCTTTTAAGGTATCTGCTTTAGTTTCTCTGCGTTGAGGGCAACAAATGCTAGCTATAAAATAAGAGTTTTTAAAATCTAACTTTATTGTGGTGGGATTTGGAGAAATCCCTGAACTTAGGTGCTAGGCATCCTTTTTTTAATGTCCAGTTAGTTGAAAATGTAAGAAATGAAGTCAAAGTTTCTGTTGGTAATCTATCTACAAATGCATAAACACATGTCTAAATGTCTTTTGTTGAGAACAATAATTACCATAGATTATGCTACCTATCTCTCCACCTTATTGCCATTTGTCACACATCTGATCTCACACCATCCCAGTTCTCAGAAGGCTCTAGCATGTGACTTTATTGTCCATCATTCTACCATTAGTTCTGTCATCAGTATTTTCATGTCACTTATTTTCTTATACCAATGGTTAGTGACCATACTGGCACATAGTAGTTACCTGGAGAATTTTAATGAAAACCTTGTGTCTGAATCCCTAGACCAAATACATGAAAACCTTGCAGATGAGATATGGTCTTGTTTTTGTTTTGAATTTTAAATTCTCTAGATAATTTTAATGTGCAATCATGGTTAACAATCCTAATTTAAGAATTTGACTCAGAAAACAGATTTCATGACTGAATGAGACTCAACTTTTAGTTCCTTAAGGACATGCTATAGATCTGTTACCTTCAAAAGTTCATGCTAGCCAGGCGTGGTGGTGTATACCTTTAGCCCCCACTACTTAGAAAGCTGAGGCAAGAAAATTGCTGGCGCCCAGGAGTCTGAGGCCAGCCTGGGCAACATAGAAAGACAGTCTCAAACAAATAAATCCCTCAATTCCAGCACCCTGCTTACCCCTCTTTCCGGGTTACTCTATCATACCGTTTCCAGCAATGTTTTGGCTCAGTCTCAATGATTCTGTCACCTATCCCTGACCTATAATTCCATCACCCTCTATTTAGTACAGACATCATGGTCCTTGCTCATTCCCTGAATTGTTTTGTCTCCTCTGAACTGAGAACTTGATTCTTGCTTACTCTAACTACTCTGCCTCAATACCCAAACAGCTGCATATGGATGGAGAACACTTCACTGCAAATTCATGGGCCTGATGATTGGGCTCACAGCTCTGGGGGGCAGTCCTTAACAGTTTCCTGGTCACTCCATACTCAACCTTTCCCAAGGTATTGCACACCTCTTTACTGAGACCTTTATCCTTCCTCCTCTTGGCTTTTCTTTCCTTCACTGCAATTTCTTTCTTCCTATTTAGCATGAACCATGTACCCTGCCATACTATCTAGTTGAGACCAGTATCCTATTCATCCCGTCTATGAAAAAAGACTCCTGCAATTAGCCTCACAGTCATTCCTGAGTCATTTTTGCTCAGTTGGTTTGTTGCCACTTGCATGCACACCAACTATTTTTAATCTCCCATTCTACAAACTTCCCAGATCTACCATTCCATGTTTGGTACTTACAGCAAAATTCCTTCAAGAGTTATCTACACTGACTTCACCCCCTCCACTCAGCACCCACTTTCTTTCTTGAAGTACTCTGATCAGGCTTAATTCTCATTACTCTGGTGAAACCATTTGTCAAGACACCAACCATCTCCATGGCATGAAGACCCAAGGAATCACCATCAGTCTCCATTTGCCCTTTCTCTTCCATCCATTTTAAGATGTCATTCTTAATACATTTTATTACCCTGGCTGCATTATACTTTCTTTTATTGTATTCTTCAACTTTTCTGTTGTTTTTTTTTTTAACATGATGAGGACAGTTTATAAAAAATACAAAATTGTAAATATATCTTTACCATTTTTATTGCACAGTTCATTAGTGTTAAGTATATCTACATTTTTTTTCATCTACATTGTGAAATATCTTTCTAACTTGGTTTTTTAAGTGGTTTTTTTTGTTGTTTTTGTTAGTTTGTTTCTTTTAAGTAGGATCTCAGTATATAGCCTAGACTGGCCTTGAACTCGTGATCTTCCTGCCTCAGGCTCCCAGGAGCTGGGATTACATGTGTTTATCACCATGCCTGGTTCTTTCCAACTTTTAAATGTAGGTGTATCCTACGGTTTAGTTCTTCTGTATTTACTTCACTGTTAAATTTAAAACTTCTCTTCAGCTCCTGCCTTTTTTCTGGATTCTGGATACATACATCTAAGAACTTACCATCCTCACTTAAATATATTAAGGTCATGCTAAACATCGAAGTAAATTGTATCACCATTCTTGCTCTTGCTTAGACCAAAACCTTGGAGTTATCCTAGTCTTTTCCCTGTCTCATACCTAAAATCCAATTCATGAGCAAGTCCTATCAGCTGTACCATCCCACCCATCCATCACCTCCTCCACCACCTGAGTCCACAGCATCACGTCCCTCTTGCACTATTGCAAAACCCATATGGTTTCCCTGCTTCTGTCCTTCCCCCATATAGTTTGTTCACAGAGCAGCTAGTGATTCTTCTTAAATGTAAACTAGATAAAATTGCTACCCTGCTCCAAACCCCCTTCATGGTTTTCTAACAATAAAATTCAAAACCTGTTGCCTACAGAGCCCTTTATAATCTGGCCCCTGGCTACCTTTCCAGTGTTGTTTCTCATTGTCCTTTCCTCTAAATTACTTCAGTATTTCTGGAGTCCTCCGACCCTGTCTCTTCAAAGGAAGATAGGAGCATTATCAAAATAAACTAGGACCAAGTGGAGATATCAGATACTAGAAAGAAAAGTACTATAATACTAGGGAAAAAAGTCCAGGGAATAAGCAGTCGTATAAATGTAGCCTTAAATGTGTACATGTTATGGTTTGAATATGAAATGTCCCCTACAGGCTTTGTGTGTTCAATGCTTGGTCCCCAATTGGTGGCACTTTTTTAGGCAGCACTGGCAACTATGAAGTAGCCCCTTACTGGACATAGTAGGTTACTAGGGGTTGCCTTTAACTGGTTCCCTGTTCCCCCCTGGTTCCTCTCTGCTTCGTGTCTGCCATGATGTGAGCTGATGTGCTCTGCCTCACCCTCCCTGCCATGATGGACTGAAACCATGAGCAAAATAAATCTTTTCTCCCTTAAATTTTTCATGTCAAGATTGAGGAGTTCGGAAAGCATCACAAAACGAAATTGAAAATGTAAAA